CGTTCGGGCCCCAAAAAATCGGCAGATGAGATGAGAGTAACAAGAATTTTTTTTTTTTTTTCCATTTTGCGATTTTTTGAAGCGGCGATTCCGAGAACCAACAAATTAAATTGGTGTGGCCTAATATACTGTATTGACTTACTTTACAGGACAGGGTGAAACTGTAACTCTAGTTGACATTGAATGCCAGGCTGTCTATTTTTAGAATCATGTTATACCACAAAATCTCCACTGATATTTTGGTCAATTGTGGCTAAATTGTACAAAAATAGTCTTAATGTGAAGGGATTAAGGGATTGAAGCAAGGAAAAAGAAAAACAATGTACATTGGCATAACCTTATGCAGGATTACAGTCAAATTATTGACTGACAAAACTATGAAATTCTACTGCATATATACAATTCTAATGCTGGAGCACATATTTACTGTATACAATATTATAAATCAACACATATGATAGCTATGTTTTACCTAGAAATATGGTACATTGCACATGTATTTTCATAACTCACTGTACACAATGGAACCAGAAATAATTTTGTTTTCATTATAATTTTTGTTATTAGTAATACATACACATGTCAAATACTTGTGTTACCAGGAGACCTGTTATACAACAGGTGGCCTTTATTCTGGTGATCTCCCTATTTATAACCAACAGGTGATGTCTTGCAGACTCTAATTGTACGACCAACGAGGTGCTGGCATACTGCAAATGGGGAGGATTTTAGATGAAATGCCGAACCATAACTGGTTTATGCCGGCATGACGCTCTTGGATTCCACGAATTACTGGTATAATTGTCATATTCTGCTTTGATCAATGCCCATGCGTCCGGCTTGAAGACCAAAACATAATGGCGGCAGCAGGCAACCTCGGCTGATGAAAAGAATATCAGTAATGAAATGGAATGATGCCAAATCAAGCAATCATGTCCCAGCAGATAACAGGGCGGCCAAACCCTATCACTCCTGCTGCAATCATTGCGGAAAAGTATTGATCTTTAGATATATGGATATAGAAAAGAAATAGCCTCTTTTTTATATAATGGCTAACCACTTGGAGTAAATGGCTAATGTGCACAATAAGGCAAACCGTTAGGAAAGCAACGTGACGTTATGCAAATATACACCATCACAAAGAAATAACATTATTCATTAATGATGTATGTTATTATGGCTATTGTATTCCTTCATACAGGCTTAAAGTTCAAATTGTGCAAACCATGGGGTGACAAATGTAGGATTTACAATGATTAACAGTCTGTCTGCATGCACAAATCCTTAATTGCAGAGCTTTCTCTGCAGTAATAGTGATGAATAACCAAGCTGTACTGTAAGGTTATTAATGCACCTATGTCTGACTTATTCACTCGTTACCACTTAAAGATTGATCTGCCTGCCAGTATACACAGAAATGGTGTAAAAATAGAACTGCTTACTCATTGATATTGCTTATGGCTTTATGCATCTTATGTTTATTCATCAATGTCTGATAAACTGTCACCCCGGGTAAGCCAGCTACTGTGGTACATCCTCATTGAATGGTGCTGCATCCCCAAGAGGAAAATAAACATACAGCTTCACTTGCAGGCATTATCAGACAGTAGCAAATGTATTGCATATGGCATTACTTTACTGGGCCAAGCTTGCGGATCAACATGTCACAGTTTGTGAGCATAACATGGGAGCTACTGTCTACAGTTTGTCTCGTCATCATCAGCCATGCCAGACATCCTGGCACTGGGAGAGTGATCAGAGGCATGTTGTACCACAGTGGTGTTGACAACCATAGCTCCAGGCACTTTCATGGCTTAGATCTGAGCTAATACTGCTGTAGATGTACAAATAACGAGGATTTGTCAAGGTTACAATGGCTGTGTACATTCTATCTTACAACATACTTGATACATCAGGCTGAATTTTATTTTTGTTGTACCATATGGCATCTTCATGCACATACAAGAAATATCTGATATCTTTTTAATCACATTACAGATGAAAGAACCTTTAAGAAGGGCTGGTTTTGAAAGGAAAGAAAGCATTGGCTATCTATTTCTGGTTGCATTGAACTTGATAAAAATGTTTGGGAGATAAATCAGCTGCTATAATTGACACACTGGTGTCACAACAGTGCAGTACCAAAAGGAGACACAAACACAAGGCCACCAGTTTTGTGTCAAGAGCAGTCACCAGGGGTCACATAACAGAGATGTGTTCGGATATAAAATGACAACCTTGGGAATCTGTCATGGGCTTAAGCCCGTTATAAGCCAACAACTTGGCAGCAATCCTTCCCAGTTGGACATCAGCTCATGCTGCTGTGAGTGTGAAGAATGGCAGACCTTCCTGGGTTTTAATATTTCACCTGAAATTCACCCGGGTTCCAACCACCCTAATCACAAATAAATAAAACAGTTGAGGCCCTGCCTAGTGATAAATGTATCTGTTGCTGGAAGTCAAGGTCAAATTCCTTGACTTTCCAGTTCTACATGCAGAGGTGCACGTAAAACAAGAGACAGACTGATGCAGAAAAATAAGCCGTCTAAATTTAGAGCCATGTAGACTAGAGCAGTTTTGACACGCTTGGTTTCACGGCATCAAACAGGTGGGACAAGGATGCTCTGTGCTCTGGCAACAATCGGCATGGACGACAGCAGGAACATTCTTATTTCAAAACTTTGGCTCTTCAGACATAATCTACATTATGAGAGTGTGGCTATGTTTACTGAAGATGTAGGCTAGCATGTAGCACATATTTTGCTACATCATGTAGCTGAATATACAGTACTATAGTACCAAATAATCATTGAAGACCCTGCATATAATTAACTTTCAAAATGCAGTTGATATATCCTGTGTTCAACCAATCACATGGAAACATAAACATGTGTACTGGTCACAAAGATAAACATCAGACTTTGTAAGGACAGGAGATGGATTGAATTTTAACTTGAAATTTGTGATTCTGCAGAGGGCAGGTGGGTTGTATTTTGTGCCGTTGCTCTAGAAAAATTTTACAGAATTTGAAATCACAAAATGCTATGATTCTTTCAACTTGTAGATGCCTTCTGTTGTTCTACACAAATTCCTAAGACGCATTACAAAAACTGAAAAAGCCACAAATGTACATGTACCCAACAAGTTGATAAAAATATCCCCACTGTACAACAGGGGGAATCCCATCAGCTGCTCTAACCCATGATGGATGGTCTCCAGGTGAAACCCCTGACCAAACCTCCACACAGAAACTAATCGTAATGTGATTTGTACTACTTTTGGTTAACCCTAACTTAATCACCTTACCTAGCAATAGATATCAATTAGACAAACGTCTTGTATTGAAAAGTTTGATGATGAAAGCCTTGTCAATTTGCTATGACAAGGACACATACATGTACCTGTATGTATAGAAATAATACTGGTGAAAAAAAGAGCATAAAAAGGATACAACAGAGTCCAACAGGATGTGTGAGTACATTATATGTACTATAAGTTATATATTCACCTGTGACCATCACTGTTCCGGCATTGCTGGGGGACAACCCCAAACCAAAGCTATTTCTGGATAGAAAGTGCAATCCCGGATTATTGACACACTAGCTAGGCTTTGCGCCTGTCATGACTCATAAAAATAACATGTTGACATTGGCAGGGTTTGTGTCCACATCCTGGCTGGAAGAGAACATCAATGAAACGGCATACTGACACCAGCCTGTGAGGTGCATCCCATGTCAACACATCTTTATTCATGATGGATAATTAATTGTGTCAACATTCCATTACATTTCAGGGGCTTAAAAGGGAACCTGTGTGTAAACAGGGAGTTTGTTTTATTTCAATTAAATTACTGTCAATCCAATACCTTTTGAGGAAATCTCTGATTAAATGGGCGTTCTGGTATGAAATGTCACTGTTTTGTTCTGTCAATTGTAATTTGTATGCAGATTTGCACCTGGACTTAACACATTACAGTCAGGAAATCCCAGGGGAAAGAGCAGCAGTCCTGTAGACTCTATGATGAATTGTAGAAGTATAGAGATCCTGACAGCTGAACAGCTAATTGTAAGGGATGAGATTCAGAGATTGGGAACCATGTCGTGAACAGAATTAACATTTTCATTACATGGCACAAACTGTGCTTCACTTCACGCTATCGTGAGTGAAATAATTTTTGGAAGGCCGTGTTTTGCTTATGTCAGCCTGGTGTTCAGATGAACCTTGTGATGATCAGGAAAAGAGGACTAATCCAAACTTTGTAGTATGTCTACAAGGATGATGTCCTTGCATTGCTCCCTCCAAACCATCTAATCACCATCAATCTGAAGGTCTTATCTGGCTTGACAAGATTTGCTGACAAAGGCTGTTGTCACATTCTCTCACAAAGGGTGTTAATCTAACACTGATTGACACCTAAGCTAGCTGTTAGTGGAAAGAACGCTCATCTTCTCTTGAAAAACAAGTCAGGGTTTGCTTTGCCTTAGCTTGACATTATAGTAATAGCAACAGACCTGGTGATCAACTGTGATCCCCTTTCACATGCTGGTTGTGTTAACGAACTGTGTAATCATACACGGGAAAGACAGGATCAAGCGCTACACATGGTGGCACGCGAACAGAACATATGGAAACTCTGCCATCGCCTGAAGCTGATCGTGTTGAGAAACCTTTCACACAACACCATAGAAACGTTTGCCAGCTGCTCATTTGCACAAAAAATACACAAAGGCCGTTATGTTGGACGGAACAGAACATCTGGCACCCTTTCAAGATTTCTAAGGTTATGAAAAAAATTTCCAACGAACCTGGTGTCCCGTTATGAGGACGGCTAGCCAGACAAACACGCCTGAAACAGCTTGAGCCGCTCTCGTCTGCAGGAAGATGGGGTTCAACTTGGGCGGGATGTGTGTGGTGTTGGCGACGGCAAGTGTCGTCGCCACCGTGCTTGTCAATCCGCTCACCATCGAAGGAGTCCCCGAGGCGTTGTTCGGCGATACGGAGGCGTTCAGTGTCATTTTATCAGACTAAACGAGCCTGCTGCGTCGTAGATAACTAAAGAAAATGTCGTCAGATGCCAGATTTCGTCATAGTGCACAGAAATGTACGAACACCTCAGCTCAACATCTTTACCTGTGGGAGGAAATCCCAATAAAATCCAAAATGGCGCCTGGGGTCAATTGCGCCTGCGCAGTAAGATTGTAAAAACGTCACGACCGCGAGATCATTACGTCATCGTTTGCTGAAAACGAGGCTGTGACCCAAGGTAACCTTTGTTCTCCAGAACGAGGCTGCATATTTTGGGTCGGAGTTGTTTTCGCTACAGGGGGGACCAAATAGTAACAAATGGTGCCGACAAAATCGACCTCTGTCGCCATGAAGCAGCGCTGTGGAGCCAGGATTTTCGATCTTCAGCAGAAGGTAGGAAACTTCAGGACCGCTGTGTCGGTAGTTTAAACAGTAGAGATCCCCGCCGTGGTGAAATGTAGGACAACTTCCCCGGTATCCAAGGGAGAAGTGAAGGTGTCTGTGTGATCCGGCGCACCTGCCAGTCCCCGGCTCTGTACTGTACAGTATGGCAACACCACATACTTTTGCGGCGATCAGTTTCCCAGCTGTAGCAGTTCTCTCTCAACTGTTGCACAAGCAAGAGATTAATGAGATTTTAACGTCTGTATGTTTGGTTGCAGGTGATCTGTTGAAAGGAGGGTGCTGTGTTGGGAATGAATAGTGGATCAAGAAAGTTCAGCAAGGATCTTTTTTGAAACCTGTCTAATTCCTGCAGCCCTGAGGGGGGATTAAGTGAGTCCTACTCCACAATGGCAACCCTCACTCAACTTCAGGACAAGCTGCGGAGCGCACAGAGCTCCATCCTGTTCATGCAGCAGGAACATGCCAAAACTCTGAAGGGTCTTCACGAAGAGATGCACAAACTCCAGAAGAAATGTGCCGAGCTGACATTCCAACTCGCCATGGAGACCACCTCCACTCCTGATGAGGACTATTTTCGTAAGAAAAGTGTGGGACTGGAGAAGGAACTGAAACAGAAGGACGACGACTGGAAGGATGTACAGGAACAGGCCGAGAAGAAAGACAAGAGAATCGAGATGCTGGAACAACAGCTGAGGGCACAAGAGAAGAAATTTAAAGACGAACTGAAACTCAAGAGCACAAAGATGGCACAGCTATCTAATGAACTTGATTCTAAGTCAGCTACGATAGCTTATCTGACAACCCAGTTGCACCAAGTGAAGGTTGGGAAGAACTTGAGGAAAAGCCGTGAGGGTGTGGAGGCTCTGCCTGAAGGCATGAGCCCAACGCCACCAAGTAGCAGAGAAAAGTCAAGTTCTTCACGTAAAACATACAGAAGAGGCGTTACAAACATGCCCGTCACCGGACCGATTCGTGCCATCCACCCCAGCCCTCCTGATTCCAGAGACGGCAGTGCAAATGTCCGCACAGCGTCCGGTCGCCGACTGCCGACCCCACCGATGAGACCAAGAACTCCCAGTGGTAGCAACGTTCTAGATCCAGCGCCATTCCTCGAAAGTCCGAAGGTTACCAGGGACAGAGAGGTCAGCATCAAACCGGCGCCGGCTGTTCTGCCTCCTATCCTGCCTCCCACTGGGGATGAAAGCGAGGAGTCTGAGTCAGATGCCAGCAATAGGAGGACTTTTTTACGGAGGCAGATCAGGCTGGCCAAGCAGGCAGACAGGTCGGAAGTGGAGACACTCGCAGTGGACCAAGTGGGAGGGACTGGTGACAATACTCTGACTGCCGTCCATAATACAGAATCTGACTAGACTTCTTATAGAGCTGTATCTGTACATGAACAGTCTTTTTATCCCTGGAATGGAAAAAAGTGTGTGGTAAAAACATACATAGATGATCATCAGAATATGATGTGAAGGTGATATGATGTACTTTCTGCTTTCAATGTTACTAGGCATTGTTTTTGTCATAGAGATATAAAGTGATTTTATATATGTCATAGATTGAATGATGTTGAGGTTTTCACTGTTAGCTGCTATGTTTGCAGTTTCAGGCAAGAGACATTCTAAACATACATATCCAAGTTATTTTACATATCCCACTGTATTTTGCTAGACATTTCAACAACCACTGAGGACTTGTATATAAAATTCCATAGTTTCCAAGTTCTCAAGGTTACTTTAAAGAACAAAGACTAAATGAAAGCATGACCATTACCCATGAAAACCTTGTTCTCTGATTTCAACCAAAAGCTATCATGCATGATCTGCTTTTATGTATAATGCACATCAAGCAGATATATTTTGCATGTGAGTTGGACTTTTGTTTTTAATGCAGAAATTAGGCATCATAACACCATATGGATGAAGTGGTTCTATTGTAAGACTGTTGACATAGCGACCTTTAGGCTTCAGCCAAAATGTTTGCCCTAACAAGCGCTGATACCCTGGCAACACAGCAGATAATTATGTTTCCATAGTGACAGTTTCTCGCAGCTTGATTTAGTGCTGCTGTTATGGCAAAAATTGGTATTCCGCTTTTGTCCTCTAATTGTATAACCTTATCCATTATTTATTACGTACCCTCAAGCAGTGGTATAGCCATAGGATACTTACACCTTACCAAGGCTAGATGTGTTTTTAGACAGGTGTTATCAGCTATATCTTGCATATTTTTACATGTTGCAGTTCACTTGCTGATGATTGTATTGCTGTGGGACCAATCCTGCCTTTTAATGCAGGTGTTTTTAAAACTAGGGCTGTCTATATGCTGCTGCATATTAACTATTCAGGGATAGTACCAGTATCACATGGCATTTTTTGCCATTGAAGTTTTGCTACCAGACAAGTAATGATGTACATGTACATATTAGAAAATCAAGTGTTTCTAGTTTTTGTGAAAGTAAGGTACATTCTACAATAGTGTCTGATTGTGGACAGGCTCTTTTTTCAATAATGCCTGACAATTTCTAAACCATTGTTGTGCCATAAACACGAAACAGCTTCTCACGTCATTAGGTAAACACATTGTGTGTTGGTCCTTTGTTCAGTTCTCTTGGATACTGTAACTTAGACTTGGAACTGGATATGTTACTGTAGCTTTAACTAAGACAAAAGCTGGCTCCAAAGGGGGTCAACTACTCAAGATCCCCATAATGGGGTTCAACATATCAGATGAGCTTGTAACAGGTCCTGTTTTGTGTTTAATGGAACCACTTGTTTGCAGGATCTTGTAACTTTTGCTGTAGGAGTATCTGTTTTGAGTTGGGTATCAACTAGATCATATCAGTTTGTAATGTTTTACCTTTTACACAGGCTTCTGAGAAGCTTTGTCAATTTTGACACATGGACCAAAACTCAGTATTATGCTGTACTGTTTGAAGATGTCATCTGTGTGAACTTGAAGAAGCCATTTTTGTGTGCTCAGTGCTGTGTGTTGAGTCATGAAGAAAGTATGACATATTAAATACACGCTGGCAAACAATATTATACGGCCTTTGCTTGTTCTTTGTATTCTTGTTACAAATGGTAAACCTTGATGGCAGAAGAGCCTTTATGCGAGCATAGTTTTGTTGTAAATATTTGATGACTTTGATGTACACAGTTTTTGGCACTAAGCAACAGAATCCTAGCCAAGAAATGTCAAAGCCTTAAATGTACCGGTATTTGAAAATGTGCATCACATTTGCAGGGCTGTGTATTTACCTCACTTAAAGAATCCCTTGTTTTAATTTATTGTCCAATCAATCGTGAATCAAGCTGTATGGTTTCTGTCCCATATGATTTGCAGAAAATGTTGGAATCAATAGTATCAGGACATTCTGCCGCTAGTCAAAGTGGCAACAAGTGTTTTCTTCCCACAGAGCATATAATTATTTCATGATTAATTCTGCATGGCTTACAATTCTTACCTACACGAGTACTACATTTAAGAATGCACAAAAACTTAGAACTTAATGCCTAACATATGCTATGACAAATACTGACATAATGAAGGAAGCACAATTTCTTTAAATTCACAAAACTTGACATTCAAATTGCCAATTTGAAATAATACTAGTAACCCTCTCAAAGTACAAAAATTACCTTATTCCTGCTTGAGCATCAAGTAACAAGGGTATTTAAAAACTATACATGTACCAAAGAACAAGAGTACATCACATATTATCCATCTAGTATCCACAACTGATGGTATCTCTGACTTGTTAATCTAGGCCATATCTTCTTCCCTGTATAGCAGACACAGCTTGTATAGGGAAAAGTACAAGCAATATTCTCCATGCAGTTCTTTTTATCATTTTCATTGTGGAGGGTACAGAAAGTTGAGTGCTGTCCTCTCCAGACTGGTCACCTGAGGGTGCCAAAAGTCCACCATGAAACTACTCTGGGTGGGTCCTTTGGGTTGCCATGGTGATGCACTTCATGGAAGAAGGAGTCATCGAAGAGGAGACACCTGCCCTCTGTCCACATCAGTCTCCGCCCTCCAACTGTGATGGCACATCCTTCTGGCACCTGTGTGGATGATATAGCAGCACAATATTATCTGAAATGCTAGAATTTCATGATCAGTCATGCAGTTTGTTAATAGGAACCTAACGTTAGTTACAATATAAAGAATCTTCATTTATGACTTAATGCCTACCTGAAACAGAGAAGATTGACTTGTTCAAAGTGAGGTCTATGGCCTTAATTTCAATCAACATGAACTTGGTTGACAGTGCATATTACCTGTAAGCCTAGATGGCATCTAACTCGTATGTTGCATGGCCCATAATGGCCTGTGATATGAGTCCCAGGATTGACCACAGAGAAGCAGGCATTTCCAAAACCACTGTCAATCATCAGAAACTTCAGCTTCCCTAAAATCTTTGCTGTCTTTGGACATTTCTGGCAAGTCTCCTGGACTCGAACCCCTTGGTTGATGAGGTACAATGCCTTCCACTGGCCTGTTGGGGTGTTGTTAATCTTCCATCCATTTTCACTGATGATTGCAGAAAATTCTGACTTTAAAATTTCTGCATTTTTCTCCAATGTTTTCATGTCGTGTTCTAACGTGATACTGTCAGTCCACACAGGTTTTGTGTCCAGATCTTGCAGGTACAGGACTGAAGGCTGCTGCATGGGGTGTCTGCTGCCTTCCAAGCTGCCATCCTTCTCTTGCAATGCCTTAATGACCTTCTGTACTGCACCGATGGGAAGGTCACTGTCATGAAAGTGTCTCACTAACTTCTGTAGCATGAGTCCCCTGGCGTGGCTGTTACTGCGGCATCGAAGGCAACCAGGTGAAGTACACTTGGAGTAAGATTCTTCCCCAGAGGAATTCAGCATTGCAGTCCTGTGCCGTTGTATGTTATAGTCACTCTATGTAGTTTTTTGACAATACAAAAAGTATATTTCTTATTCTTTTCTTTACATAGTACATTGGCTTAACCCATTAGTATTCCAAAATTATACTCCACAGCAAAAAATACAACATCCTTGCTCCTTAGAAGCTTAGAAAACTGTGAATGATCTTCTATTCAACCTCTGGCCAAACCACACATATGGTATTGTCCACTCCCAGTGGTTTGACCTACATCCCAGTGGGGTGTCAGTTGATAGCTTACCAGTTTCTGAAATACCTAATCGTTTACCAGATTTTTTATCTCTTTTGAGGGGATAATGACCACAGTTTATTCATGCCCAACAAAATACTCTAAGTTGATAATTATATTCCACCTCATGTGAAGATATGAGTTTTTTCTAAGGAGGGTATATCTTGTGACATCTGCCCCTGTCTATCAAGCCTGGCATGCCCGGGCCAATTAGCCACCCTAGGGGGCAACCCCTGTCTGTTGTTGTTGTTGTCCTCAGAGCAAACCGGTGGCACCGGGAACTGAAGAAGGACTGTTTGAACGGACAAAATATACGAAAAAAATATGAAATAATGACACAAATGTGTTGAAAAGTGATAGTAACTGCTAATAACACCGAAATTTAGTATAATTAGAATATTTCAATTTTTTGCGCAAAAAACTACATAGAGTGCCTTTATTGCAATACCACCAAGTTGCAATACAAACTGCAACAAATGTTGCAAAGTAGTAGGCAATGCTGTATGTGCCTGGATCAAACATGGTGAAATTCAGATTGGTTTTGAAGTATTCAGTACTATGACAATTATTTGCCCTCCCCCTTAAGGTTTCATCAGAGACATTATACAAGAAATGTCCTTGGTTTCATGTACCATGCTCTTTAGGGTTAGTTCAGTCAGTCCTACACAGTGATAACAACTCTCCAAATCCTCTAAAACCTTCCTGGTGAAAGGGGATACCAATCAAAGGGCTGGTTTAAATGCAAAGTCCTTTGAAAACGTCTAGTTCAGGAGTCATGGAATAGGCTGAATAACAAATTTCTGGCAGCCATTTTTGTTTACTATGGGTTGTACCATTTCAACATAGGGGTGGCTGGTGCAGAATCATGTTTTTCTTAGCACCTTATATTTCAGATGGGATCTTATTTTATAGTTCTAAGAAATAGAAGGCATATGTATGATGTGGACTGTTACGGATATTTCAGATACAACCTTACAAAGCTAAATCACCTTTTTTTCTACCCATCTTTGGAAGTGTAGGATTAGGACTTATGTCTAGTGTATTGTTATATTGTAATACTAGATTATTGTCTAACAATATTCTATGTAGTGAACATGTATTGACCTTTGTCTCTGAAGCTCGATAATTGTTTGCAGGAAATTGCTTTGATAGATTCTGCTGATTCTTTTTTTTTTCAAATTATTGGTTTAAAGTGCCCACTAGTGGAAATTCCGTGACCTGCAGGTTCAGAATCAACTGGATCAGTGCAATCAGGGTGTAACATCCTTGGTGCTCAAAATCATCCCAGCCTTCATCTCATCTACTAATGCCAACATCTTTACTTTATTAAGTAAAGTAAAGATGTATTTCTTTCCCATATTACATACTTCTAAATTTATCTATGGTAATGACAAGCAGAAATAATGACTATATTGGGAGATGGTAGGTGAGAAATGAAGTGTAATAAAGTCTATACACTGTACATAGGGGAGTAGCTGCCGTGAGAGCTGTACACGTGTTGGACTAATAATAATAATACACGTAGCACCAATACCCTATGAACACTGCACACTGACTACATAATCCATGTATGGCACTGTTTCATAGAAACCATGAGACATACACTATTACTACTACATGCTTATCTACAAGATAACATGGGATATGATGATCCAACAAAGAGAACTATACTCCATAAGATAAAATTTTGTCTAAACCATACCTGTAACTCATGATCAACTGACTTACATTAAATAGAATCATGACACCAATACAAACTTTTTGTTGTACTGTTTGGCTGCATGACTCACAACTTATACATGTATGTAAAGACTAAAAACTATATCTAGGGTAAATACATACATAATGTGCTGTTAACATCAGCCATAAACGCCCAATCAGGTGTGGGAAAGCAATTTCTAAGCCCTCACAGCTCTTGTATTGTACTACAAAATTACCTATCAATACTCTACAATACATGCAAAAACAACATGGTCAGAAAAAGTGGGAGTACTCAAACATATGCTACTGTCACTTTTTTTACGATCTTCGATTACTGGCTATATTACATTTCAACACATGTAGCAATAATCCAGAATACCGCCCGTAGTTGCACACACAGTGAGAAACAGTGAATCAACTGATCACTGTCATGGTAACTGTGGAAGCATTGATGATACAATATCATTGCACAAACATTGTTTCAATGGGTCATTGGCATTTGCTCGGTACAGAACTTACTGTAATCCTACAATTTGATTTAAAACATTATGTCTTCAGATTCCAAGTTATTGCAAGACAAAACCTTGTTTTTCTAACATTAATAAATTGACATACTGAACTGTCTTATGTCTTCTACTGGGTAAGATATGCTGAGAGTTCAAAATGGACAGGTGTCTGAATGAATAAATTGTCTAGTATTACGATCATTATGATCAGCTATGAAAATTATGCGGCAGCCATAGGCTGAATTCCATATTTTTCACAGATAATACTTAATATTAACTACTGACTTCTTACGGTATCCCACTTACAAACTATCATTCGTGCAAATTAACCACCTTATCCACAAAATCACAATCAATACTACAGTACAATTAAATAGGTACTAAGTTTTGGAACAGATTAGCTTAGGTACATGTAACTTATTCAGTTAAAAATCAGAACAGCTAATACATGGTGTTCAGATGGTGTTCAGTTATTTGGACATGTAAACATTATCCATTCCGATATTCATGTAGCATACCATAACAGGTACTTCCCGCAGTGCTTGCCCTTTAAGTAAAGCAAGGTAATATGTTACTGCATGTTTAATGTGATAAATGAGACCGCTGCAAGCTGGTACCAGCTACTGGACCTTGTATGTTATTGCTTTTGGTGGTTGTTTGCACCTGTCACTTTTTTGGTGACTTTTTGTTTTTGGAATATCTGAGCTGAGACTTTCCAAATGGACAGATGTCCTTGTTCAGACATCCACTGCACTTTGGCCCGACAGGCAGACACGTCTGCTGACCAAAACCCACCAGTAACCAGTTCAGCTCACTCCAGTGTTCCCTGTGAAACAAGAAAAACAATGGTATCAAAGAAGTGTAATAAGCAACAAGTAGTTTCATACATTTATATTCCTCATACCCAACTGACAATAGAATATACTCACAAGCATCAAATGAGTTATTTTGAAACAAATGTACATGTGGTTACTGAGAACGATGGAATGTTAATGTTTTGACCTACAGAAACTGGATGTATACCTTTGTATTCACTGAATTCCATGCAACTGCCACTATAACAATGACTTCAGTAGATTATTTACACAAACTGGTAGGTGGTCTCATAGATGACAGCTCATCTGGAAAGGCTGGAAATAGCTTGTCATTTTGGACAAGCAAAAGAATAGCTTGTTTTTTGACACACGATATTGTTTTGTCATGGTTTTTAAATGCACTACAAATCAGCGGAAATGGTACAATGGTGTTAAAACACTCAAGCTAGTGTTTGGCTGCTTAGCAAAATGACAGTAAAAAAGGTGCAATTGCATGTCGCTCTTTGCAACACTACAATACCATGGAGGTTAAAAATCAAGGTACCTAACCACAGAAAAAACAGCAAAATATCACATTCACATTGGCCATTAGAAAAGTTAGTATTTTGAAGTATTTGTGTTAACTTTTGTAATGACAGTTCTGGAACATTTAATGTCACACCAAAGTCTGACTACAGTACTTCTAAATCACAACACATGCAGATGTACTAGTGCATTACAGAGTGACACACCATTGACAGACATAACAATCTCAGGGTGCTTTGAAGTAAAGTGGACATGATGACAACAGTGTATATGTAGCTATACTTTGCAGCATTTTGGTTTCTGTGCTCAGAAATTTTAGGTCAATGTCAAAAGTATAACGGTAAGAAAACAAGTACATGTATCTGCAAGTTTGTTTCTTGATTGCAACTTTTTATGACTTGACCAATATTATCACTATCTCTGAAGGGACTTTGTTCCATAGAAATGATTGGTGACCATATTCTTTAAACACAAGTCTGTTTCTCCATATTAAAAGTTGGCCATATCTCTAAGTATTGTGATATGTATTCTACAAACCTAGGTAACCATTCCTCAAGTGCCACTCTTGTGTCTTCTGGCACTTTGGTGGGCTTTTTTAGCCATGCGAGTCTGTTGGAGATCCGATGTACATGGGTGTCCACACAGATCCCTTCAACCTGCCAGTGAAACAGACAAAGCAAAAAATTAATACTGAAAATGCACTGTCCCTGTACTGCAGCCAATGATGATAATGATGACTGTCCCTTAGTCATCCTAAATCTAGGCAACATGATAATTCAAGCCTTGCAAAGTTGCAATGCTTTGCACTAACTGTGAATGGTATAGTTAACAGCCTGACCTTTCAATATGAATCTATGGAACACATCACTCACTCTCACACACTCAGTCCTGTAGCTCGTCAGCCGTAGGGGCAGTCGGACAGTTAACAAAATTCCTCCATCTCTGGCAGTCCATCATTACACTACAAAGATGAACATATCATATATATTATATAAACAAAATATCTGTTGTTCGGTTACCTTTCCCCAGCCTACATCCATAGTCAGATAGGCCATTTTGGGGCCGACCCCAGGCAACTTGACCATCTCTGCCACCGTTGTGGGTATGTCTCCTCCGTACTGGTCCTTCAGTATCTGGGTGGTGTTTTTGATGTACTTGACCTTGGTCTGGAAGCAGGAACAAGGACAGAAAAATGTTTGTTACAATATCAGCCAACACAGTCTACTCTCAGCTTTACTGTAACAGCTAATCTCATACACAAGCAGGTCACGTCTAAATTGGTTAATCAGTCATGACTAATTGTCTGGTTGAAAGTGCTCATTATAACCAACATGAAGTTCAGTACACATGCTGAATAAAGTCTCCTGGATGCCAGCACTTAATTAGCCCACCAGTCATCCAATTATATGCCTTAAATCAACTGACTCAGACTATTCCACCATTCTAACCTTTGGTGTGCTATGGCTGACATTTGTGACCAATGTGGCAAACGGACCAAGGACGTACAAGCACATGCATCAGAACTAAAGAAAGAAGGCTTTCTAACTGAGCCTTAATCTGCAGTTTATTTTTGCTTTCTAGATTTTGTGTTCATGGAGTTTTGATGTTATGAATATCATAGCTGTCCATATTTTTTGTCCAAAACAAATCTGTCAAATGCCTTGCTCATCCATTATAGTATCGTATTGTAGAGAGAGATAATGAGAAAACATATATGAACACCTTCCAAAAGCCCACAGGGTATATGAGCTCCCCTAGTTTCTGGTCACTGGTCTTCAGGATGTTGTCTACAGTCAGACCATGCTCTATAAGCCGCTTCATGGCAGCTGAAGTCATCTGGTCTTTTGTCTGGCTGGACAGCATGAGGGAGATGAGCGCATGGTACCTCTTCACCTGGAGGACAGGGTGACAGTCAAGAGATTAGGAGGACAATTTAAGGGTTAGGTTGTTGTGCCCTCAATCTAGTTTCTCTGGAACAACCTTAAACAAGGAAAGGTCATATATTTGAATCATGTGAATGCTGGCTTTTATCCAAGCACTGCTTCATATAGTGACAGTGACTGTCTTAATTTTTAGCATATTGTCTTGAAGGTTTATTTTATCCTTGTCTTGTATCAATTGCCTAGCTCATCAGTGCAGCTTAACCTAATATTTTAATAGTACTGTATGTGGATTTTTTTTATATCTTACACATCAATTCTTTGTTGACCTGTGATCTATTTAATGTAAGGACATAGGTGTAATGAGCCACATCGTTACAAAGTATAAGATTGAAGCTAACTGTGAATCAAAAGACATCTCTACTTCATTAGTCACAAGGACATCATGTGGCCCACTTGCAAATTTCTTACAAGACACTCCATGACCATCACATGATTTTTAAATAGCAGTTTCTGTTGAACCAATGCATTGTTGAACTAATGCTTGTATTTGGGCAAGTGGCATAGGCATTTAAAAGGGGGCGTGGCACTCCAACAAGAAGCATGTCCTTTTTCCTTCAAGTTTCTTTGTTGATATTAACGTTAGATCTACAACTATACATGAAAGGGCAGTACAGAATCTAATATAAAGTGACGAATTGAGATGAAAGTGTTTTCTGAATGATGAAAGATAAAACACTCAAAGAATGAGTTACAGTGAGTGAGGTCTTGTCAAAGATATGATGTAATAACTTACCATCTAATGTTAACATTACATGTCTATCACAAAATCTCAAAACAGAGAAAGTTCACCAGACACAACAAGCTCAATGTCCTTGTAAATTGCCCTTGTCATCAAAATCATATGATCATTCTTTGCAAAGAAATAAATTATATTCCCATGATGCTCATTTAACATGACTGTTGTTTCCTTGATTATCACCAACCTTAGGTGAAGCATCTTTATCTGGACAAGTCTGACAACCCATGGAGTCTACAGGAGCATCTCTGGTTGCCCTCATCCTCTTGATGTTCTCTAGCTGTTCCCTCCATCTCCCAGGCTCCCACCTCTCCTTCTTGATACTGCTGGGTGCTGTTTTAGGCTTGGCAGACCTGCCCGAGCCTTTTGCATCCCCTTCTGCCTTGGCTTCATACTCTATCTTGGTGTGTTCCCGTTTAACTCTTTTCTGGGCAGTCTTCTGAGATCCAGTTGGCTCTGCTGAGGAGGAGGGTCCTCCATGGGCAGTGGGTGTTGATTTCCCCCCTCTTGACCTCGTGGTCTGCAGAGCCTGGGCTCTGGCCTTCAGATCGGCGAATTTGCTGCCGCCCTGGGCTGCCTGGCTGCGTGTTACAGGCCTGAAGTACGCCGATGTGCTCATCGTACAGAAGGCATGGCCTGCAGACGCGTACAACTCCGCAGTACGGGTAAACTACGGAGCGTAAACAAGGATCCTAAATGAACAGGGGGTTGTTTTGATCACTTTCCCTCCTTTTTCTGATCAGTCCTCTCTGATTGGTCACATGCTTTACCTTGGTTAGAAATGGATAATTCCCGTATATCACCCACAATGCAGTACGCAGGAGTTTTCCAGCTGTCTACCGCATTGCTTCATGGGTAAAATTACAAACAGCCATTAATTCCCAGGGTAGATGGTCAAGAGAGTTCGCGCCATTAACGTGCTGCGTCAATTTCCCTCCTCTTTCCTTCTTTCTTTCGTTTCTGTTCCGTCCCCATTTTCTTTCTAGCTGTGCCTGGGCACCTGAGATGCCCAGGAACCCTCCTCACGCAATGAATATTGCATCGAAGACCGGGTTACTTTTATTTACGGGGAATTCCCACCCTGACTTGGCGAGACTTGTGGCGAGGTAGGTGTTGCCTTGTGGGTCATCGCATAATTTCTGCATGGCTGCCAAAAAGGATTCATCTGCAGACTTGAAATAGCATAAGTCCTGAGTCGTCGTAGGCTCCTTAAAAACCGGTATCGGTCTGTGTAGTGCGCTACCAAAATATGACCTCATGTTGAGCCCTGTGAATAATTTGTTGCCCTTTTGTTGCACAGACTTAGTCTCGACCTTGTGTGTTTGTGAGGTATGAAATCGCCTAAAATTTTTCAGGTTTGTAACTCAAAATGCAGGGAGGTCCATAAAAATATTGTTTGCAATTTTGTAGCTGTGGTATGTTGTACGTGTGTAATTAAACGTATGTAGACGGACACATCTGGTTTATAAATTAGAGGCCTTTTACTACTTTTAGGACAGAGTCCAAATCACGAGGTAGCTATTTGTGACCAGCAGCCGATAAGCAGCATAAATAAACAGTCTGGTTATGTTTGATTTACTGAGACAACAACTATAAGTAACAGCTTCTTATGATTGCAAAGTTGCAACTGTATTCAGATAAGACTTTTGGAAAGAAAGAAAAAAGGAAAAAAATAAAATCATTAGTGTCATTCCCAACATCTGCTTGGAGATTAGGATCAGTTCACTGATCCATGATGTGAACTAGTCAAGTTCACAATGCTGTTGTTATGCACATGTACTGCCTTTGTGAATGTGTATTGATACAAACTAATGCCAGAAAGGTTGACAACAATCATGATAATTACCAGCTGTCACACCTGTCAGTAGACATCAAAGACTGGGTGAAAGAGTCCCAGCAAGGCTCTCACGCCTGGCTCACACTGATCATGGTTTTCCTGATAGGCTGATACTGATATAGTTGCCATGGCCTAAAGGATATTTGTTGTTTCACATGTGGAATAGTAGTAAGCATTGGTACAACCATGTTTTTCAGCCGTCTAGGATTGGAGCTTGCACCATGTTCAGTGAGAAATGACGAGAATGCAGGTAATGAAATTCTGTACTGTTGGCACTGTGGTAACTTAATTGTCACCTTTTAATCAGTGTGCAATGTTTGACGGTAACTTGGTGCGACCTATATTAATGTTCTGTAACTGCCTTATTTGCAACGTAGTCTCACATATCAAATGATTGCTTTCACAAATGTCCATGTCCCAATTTTGCCTAGCATTCTTACTTCATTTGCCTCTCTTACTGTTGAAGGCAAGGTCAGTGAATTTAGATATTAATTTCACTAGCAATGCTTTCGTGTGGAGTCATTGAATGGTGTAACACTTTTGGTTTGTTAGTTTAGATTTGGAGTTGATGATGTTTTTTTTTCTCCTGCAGAAACTAAAGTAGATATAGATTGTTCTGTCAGAGGACAAGATGTCTTCATCATTCAGACTGGAAGCAAGTGAGTATTCATGGACATACATTGCTTATTGACTGGCTATCAACTAATTTACCGGTCAATCGTAAGTGAATGGTGCAATATAATTTAAGAAAATTTATGTTTGTGTGTGAAGACAAGCTTTGGAAAGATCCAGCTGTTGGTGTTCCTGGTTTTGTGCTAACAATGTTGCCTGCAAACACAATGACAGCAGAACTAAATTGAATTTTCATTCTTTCCCCAGAGAGGTGAACACCAGTATTATGGAGCTGCTGATCATGATGTATGCGTGTAAGACGTCCTGTGCAGAGAGTATTGTAGCTGTCATCCCCTACCTGCCGTACAGCAAACAGAGTAAGATGAGAAAAAGAGGATCCATCCCCGCCAAACTACTTGCCAGTCTACTGTGTAAAGCAGGTGCGTAGAGAATGGACAGAGAAACACTCTTCATGTTGTGGGTGTACACAGCTGGTAGTATTGATCTGTAGTCCTTGTCACAACATTGGAGTGATGAATTATTGGTTCCGTGGCAGGTAAGAGGCAGATGTTCATTTCGGTTGCCTCATTAACATGCATAGGGTGTTGTCTCGTGCACTTAGGGTAACTCAATTTGAATCAGTCCAGTACTTTTAATAACACATCCATGGTTTTCCAATAATTTTATGATTGATTAGTGCTTACCTTATTGGCATCTTCTTTAGGCATGACACACCTGATCACAATGGATCTCCACGCTAAGGAAATCCAGGGTTTCTTTGATGTCCCTGTGGACAACTTGAGAGCATCACCTTTCCTCCTGCAGTACATACAGGAACAGGTAGGTGCATTACTTAACTTGTAATCAACTAACCTGTCCTGGGAAAGCTTATAAGGTTTGATGCAACTGTAAAGACATAGAAATACAATCTCTTTCGTAACAGTTTTACTTTTCATGTTCAAAGTTGACTTATTTTTATATTTCCAGATCCCAGACTACAGAAATGCAGTCATAGTTGCTAAGAACCCAGGATCTGCAAGAAGGTAGGGTTGGGTTTTGTCTTTTCACAAATAGTTACAGCTTGCATCTTACTGTTGTAATAGTTGACTGATCCTTATATGTTGATACATTGTTTCAAACAATGGCCGGTTATATGCTGTACTGTACTATGTATTGTCTGTAGTTATGTGTTGAAATTGAAATTCTTTTGTCAAAAAATTTATCTGAAAGAGTGCAAGTCTACTCCAACTTACAGTGTAAATCATCCAGATGATGACAAGTGCTGTTTTTGTTGTTGCCAGTATTCCTTGTTGGTTTGCTTGTGGTCACATAGCAATATGTTTCAGAGCACAGTCGCTTGCCGAGAGGCTGCGGCTGGGGCTGGCTGTCATCCACGGCGAAACCAAAGAGGCAGAGTCAGATGCGATCGACGGGCGCCACTCGCCTCCGCCGGTCGTCGCTCAGAATACTGGGTTAGAATGGCCTAGTGAGTAACACCTCTTGGACGTCTCGTGTGTGGCCTTTTAACAGTGGAACGCCCTCCAGTTGTACATACATGTAGCATGGACTGCCCTGCCAACTCAGCCAACCCTCTTAGCACGCGTGTGGATTGTAGTGCTGGCGTGTTCTTGTGCTTTCAATGCCTTGTTGGCCTTGCGTGTCACCTTCTAGTTAGTTCGTACGTGGTGAAGGATTAACACAGTTCTAACAATATTTCATTTTGAGCAGTTATAGTCACTGCATGGTGGCTGAGCAGTTAACTGATTTACACTGAAGCAAAATGCAAGTTTAATACTGATCAAACATCTGCATCATGATCTGCCCGTCTTCAGTGTAATCTAACATTGTAACATCATCAATGACAAATCATTTTGATCTCATACAGTAGCTGTAAGGTTAACAGTTTGACACAAAGTGTGTGATCTAGTTCTCACTCTCAAGTAAAAGTTAGCATTGAAGGTTTGTATTCTGAGCTGAAAACGCTTAAAAATGCTTAGCCTAGTGTAGTGACAATCCAAGTTCTAAAAGCTGCTGCAGTGAAAAGTTGTTTCTTGAGGGCCAGATAGAAACTGAAGTACGGCCCTGCTGTAGATGATAACTAGATCAGACATTTTTCCAGCCATCGCCCCCTCCCACCCCCATTAGTAGTATGTAGTTTAAGTTCCACCATGATGTAATGGCCCATGCTGTGTCCCTGTCATTTGTCCTACAGACTCCCCAGGAAGTAGTCCTTGCGCTCGGGACGGTGAGGTTTCCTCTGCAGCAGACTTAGATAAATTCTCCTGCATGTTTTTTTTCCACCTCCTGGCATTCCCAGCAGATTGCCTCACAGAAGAACAGATAACTGTCATGCCTACTCTACTACCAAAACCCTTCAGCTACAATTTGTAGCTAGTCTATTATAAAGGATGTTACGTAGAGGGGTTTTGCCATAGCCAGTTGTAGAAAGTAGCCAGTACAACATTTGTGTGAAGAGGTGTGGAGATTTTCTATGACTTTGGTGTTGTCCTGTTGCCATACAGACTGCATGTTTTTGTATCACTGGATGCTGAACATATAACAGTTTGCTCTGACACTAACATTCTTTTCAACATTTAAATACAATGTATTTCTATGTCAATTTGTAGCAATAGCTGCATGTCTTACATTTTCTATGTATTTTGTTCTAGTAGTACCAGTGATGCTGTAGTAGTATTAGTGTATGGAAGGCTTTTCCTATTGTACAAATGGGAAATGCTGCATGTCTGAAAAGATCTGCTAACTTTAGGGTTTTCAGCAACTGCTGTGGATTCTGCCAGAGATTTCTTTTCAGGTCCAAGACGCAAGAAGAAGCAAGACAGTTCCCCTAACCTCTCTTCTTTCAGCTTTAGCTCAGTGTTAGTGAGCTGTTACATGCCTCATAGCCTAATCAATGGCTTTAGACCTCTTAATTTCTCCCTTGCAATGATTAGTCTAAAAATCTTTTTCATTTTCAAACTCTTGTATCCCGTCACCGCAATTGTAGGTGGACGCTATTGGTCAGCTGACTTTGGAATCGGAGTCCCAAGTACGATCACTTCTTTGTCCTTTTCTCAGTCCTGGGTTCCTTATTCCGGTTGCTCTTTACATAAATATGGCAAAATAATGTTGATACATTTGTTTGAATCAATCTGGGGAGTGAGTGGCCTTGCATGTCTGTCTAATGTGCATGATTCTATTATAAGGCCGTTTGAAAGGATGTATTATTTATGAATAGAAATATTGTTATGAAAGCGTAGTATCCATAAAGGTGCTGGCAAAGAGCATTTCATCATGCGGAATATGGCCAACATTGCTACAAAAATGCTTTTGTGTGCTTAGGTAGGTATGGCTCACCAAAATGGTGCCATGCTGCTGGCAGTGGTTTTTCTCTGCATTCTTCGTTTGCTTTGTTTCAATTCAACATTCATAGCAGAGCACTTCTGTTTGTTTCTGCTACCCTAGATTCTGTACCCGTGAAAAAAATCCCATTTCTGTCTACAGCCACTTATTAACCACCATATTCTTTGTGCATGGTGCATTTTAGTTTCTGGAGCCACGATAAGGCCTCAGTCTGTCAACTCCTTGGGAATGCTGGCACCGAAAACTTTGGAGATTGCGACAGTGCCTCACTGTCGGTGCTCATCATATCCTGCTGGTTGTGGTGCGGCTGAGAAATGTACAACGTACATTTATTTCACTTGACAAAGACTATTCCTGCCATTACTGGAGAAACCTAGGCTCATTCTTCTGTACCATCTTGTGTTACAGTGCTAACGGCCAAGGAAAAACCTCCCATCAACGTTGTAGGAGATGTAGGGGGCCGCATAGCCATCATTGTGGTAAGTGGTAACACTAAGGCATTTGTTCTGTTGCACTAAAAGGTGTGGGTAATACCAAAATGCATCTGATTGAGCAAACTGCATGTAAATGACTTTTCCAATGGTAACACTTTATGGTAGATTTTTTCTAAGGCTAATGCATTAAACAGAAAGTAATGTTTATAATGGGTTTAACTTTGATCCAACACAAAAGGGAACTCACCATTAAACAGATGTTGCATATATCCTGTCGGCATGCTTACAGTTGTATATGGGGAAATTTTGAAATAGGCTTCAAAAGTGTGCATGTGTATCTTGAATGATCAGTGCCTGCCTGAACAGTCTGTGTATGTCTTAAATGATTCTTATGACTTTAATCTGAACAGGATGACATCATCGACGATGTGGAGACTTTTGTTGCGTGTGCGTCCATGTTGAAAGACAGAGGCGCGTACAAGATCTATGCCATGGCGACCCACGGTCTGCTGTCATCGGACGCCCCCAGACTGCTGGAGGAATCTACCATTGACGAGGTCTGATTTTCATATCACTTACTGAACATCTATGGACCTTAACTCGTGTGACACACAGAGAAAAAAACAATGAGAATTTTGCATGTGCATATTGCTTGTAAGGGTAATGGGGTTCACATGAGCTATGTCTTGATATAGAATCATGTATGACAATGAGAACACACAATAACCTTTTGTGTATGCCTTCCTCACAAAGCAGAGGATGCAGCAATAGCTGTGTAATGCTGGCTCTTTTCCCACCTCAAGGTGTATACAATGTACACAGGTGTAGAATTTTTATGTGCCAACTAACCGTGTTGAACCCTGGACTTGTCCCCTCAGATTGTGGTTACCAACTCGGTGTCACATGAGGTGCAGAAGCTGCAGTGCCACAAGATCAAGACAGTGGACATAAGTGTGCTGATCTCCGAGGCCATCCGACGTATCCACAACCAAGAGTCCATGTCCTACCTGTTCAGAAACATTACTATGGAGGACTAGAGTATACATGTATAGGGCTATAGGTTTGTTGAGGGTTAGGAGATGGGTTTGAATTATGCGTTGCATTTGACTTCTGGTTTGTTGTAGACCTAACTTGCACAGATTGCGTGATTTAACACTTTGTTTGTTGTGGTATTTTTGAAAACCAGGTAAAAGTTACTCGAGAATGAACTTGTGCATGGGTTGACTTTCTACTACAATATATATATATATTACGCAAACATAGATATTAATGTATGATGAACAAAAAGATACTCCATAAAAGACAGTTTATAAACTTTCAGACAGTAAATGTCACAGTATATGCATGTTAGACTTTAGATACACAGTAGTATGTTAAAAAGAAACCTTAAATGTTACTGATAGAGGTATTGAAAGGTATCATCCATTTTTAAGAAAAACCCTGTTGTCAACTTCGGTTAGAATGTTCTAGAATGAAGTAACATATATAGGATGCTGCTATCTGGAGTATAAAGACAGTTTAGTGCAAGGCTGTCAGACATACAGTGTGTTCTGAAAAGTTTATTGTTACAAAGAAGGTACAGGTTTTATTTATGTACCTGGGATTTTGTGGTTCCAAAGTTTGGTACCACCATGCTTTTTGTATGAAATTTTATGTGTATGTTTCAGAGTTAAGTGTACATGTATGATAGGTCCTCACAGGCTCAAGGACTGACAAAGAGAGTTTGAAACAGATGTCTATGATGTAAAGGTATGTACATGTTCCAGTAAGAAACAGAGGAAGGAATAATGTTGGATAGCCAGAGATTACTGTACGATGGCACAACAAAAAGTAGTCTGTATTCTGAGAGCTTTAAGTAAAGATGCTTTGGAAGCAGTAACAGTTGATTCAACTTGTCACAGTAAATTGATATTTGATGAAAATTTGATGACCAGGGAAAATTTCTGCCTGGAAAGTAAAAATCGTGATCAAACGTATTACAGCAACCTGCTTTAATGATTTTATTACAGTGGTGGATACAGACAGTGGTTGCCTGACATGCTGACCTGATAATCCTAACCACTCTTCCAAGAGTTTAATGCCTGAAAAATGTGCTGTTTCTACAATACAAAGCTCTTGCAATGCAGACTACAATTGTTGGTGTTGCACTACGACTGGTGTACAGCCCCAAATCTGTATGTTCCTGTATATCTAACCTACAAGCACAGACATGTCAGATGAAAAGTAGACAACATTCTTTCATGGAAATTTTGTGATTCAATCTGTAGCTTCTGCATTGACCTGACGTGATTGACTTGCAGCTTCCTGTGAAGCAAATTAAACGTGTGATGAATTAAGTCTCCTCGTACCTGTGTATCTTCTTTTGGAGTTGTTATTAGGAGGAAAAGCAGAAGATGAGAAATGCAGAGACCAAGAATTACTCATCGTAACAAAAAGCATTATAACATTGTTAGTGTATGCTGCCATTTGTAGCTCTTTTGTCATAAGTCCTTGAACTTGTGAGGCATATGTTTACTTAATTTTCTCATCTTCTGAGAAATCATCACACACAAGCCCACACACACACACCAAACACAATTCTGTTGATGCATTCCTTGACCACATATTAACCAGATTTTCAGCATAAACATTGTCAGGAAGAGCACCAGGATGAAGAGTGTGAGGAAGATGATCACCATGACGGCAGATGGCTGGAGGTTCCCCAGGCAGTTGGGAGGATCGCCAGAATTCGCAAGATCACGGTGAACGATGAACCCCTCTCTGACGCTGAGGATGACAGATAGTCAAGGATGGAGGGTACAGTTGGAACACAGGTGTCAACTGCTGGGGAAAGAAGTCTAACTTCATAGCAAGGATGCTTGCCCAATATAATACTTCAGGGCAGATTTAAAGAGAAGTTTGTCAGGACAAAGCCATATCAGAAATATCTGCATTTCATATTTCCCATTTGTTACATAGTCTTATTTTGTCCAGAAGAAAATACCAAGAAGAATTGTGATGGCATTGGATATTTTCCTAAAGCAACTTGCAGTTTATTGGTTAAAGCAAGAGATTTGGTCTTGATAACCTCCAAAGAAAACCGTAGTACGTGTATCTGCATAATATGTACTGTGGTATATTTGTTGTATCAGTCACCACAGAAATTATGACACAGTCTGACTGTGGTGGTGAAGATTTGTGCCTTGTTATAGATGTCTGATAGGTGTTGATAAAATCCATGTTGTGTGCCAGTGCCCCAAAGTCATGTTGCTGTACTGTGTGTATTTTGCATGATACATGATGCTGCTATACAATTTTATGTTTGGTGGGAACTTGTAAGGTGGCCAAGGTGAGTTAAGTAATGTGAAGGTGGCCAACAAAGACCTATGGTTGCTTTTCTAAAATTTGACCAACAGAGCTATGTCCAACTACAACATGTAGATGGTCTTTCATAATGTACTGTCCAGTCAGTGGGGCTTGTGTGTGAATGTCCTGTGCTTGCAGTGTTTTTCAACTAGCATTGTCGGTATTGCAGTTTAGGTAAAGGATTGTTTTCAGTGAATAACTAAGTTAAACGTAAAAAGACTTGATGACAGAGTGAAGCCAAAAATGACTCACATACACAAAAATTACTTCTCAGGTGGAGAGGATTTTAAGTAAGTTTTCTATATGGTGCATGCAGTAAGTTGATGAATAGTGGCAAACCCATAACTTAACAGTTTGCCTTTAGATTTAGAGAATTCAACAGCCACAGACTTGCCTTATTCGTATTCTTTATTTCATTTGCCTCCTCAAGTTTTACAGACAGAAAATAAAGTTGTTTTACAGGTGTTTATGTGCAAGTCAGTCTTCAGATGCTTTTGCATGATGTGGAAAGTGTATGTTGCTGTTACTACTGTTGACTCTGGTTCATGACAGCTTCAGTCAGCTGCAGCAGGAGACAGGATGAGCTGTTCTGGTCCTGGTGGAGTTTACTGTACAAACAGGAAATAGTGGAACAGCATCGTGAGTCAGGAAGGCATACATATTACACACCCAATTCTGTTATGATGGTGTCAACAACTAACACCTTTACAGAAAGACTATCAAACCTCTTTATTACAACCACTTGTTTACAAGAGCTGATGTCTCGATAACCATCTGAAATCTTCATTAGTGCCATAATAACTGGCTGCTTCCATGTTGTTTGCAAGCTAATATAGTATTTCACGCCTCATGTAAAAAAATGTACAAGGCAAATAACTTTTATTAAGGCTTACTTGGAGCAAGTTTAGGAAACTGCAAAAGACCAATAAGAACATACCTGTTGTCATCAGTCTTTGCTGGAAGGGACGACAGCAGGGGTGCAACACTGCAGAGATAACACAGCATGAAAATAGACTTACATTGGATTTACACCAGAAACAATCCTGGAGGGATGTGCATCTGTGTGTGTGATGATGTGTACACATGTTTGAACACATGTCATCAATTAATTAACAACCACTTTATTCACCTCCCAGGACTGGTGTTCCAAAATGGGTACTAAGTATATAATGTAACACAGGTACCAGTGACAGTGACAACACTAACTTGGGCATCCTGCACAGGTTGATGAGAACAGGTGCCCGTGCCAGTAACACAGCATCTCCGGGATCCTGGGACCCAGAGGCAGGCAGCTGCTGGGTGATCTTTGTCAGGCACAGCAGCACACGGGGCATCAGGTCCTGGCAACGCGTCGCTAGCTGTGTGGGGGAAAGTACAGAATTACACAAGTCAGGCTGAGTACGTAAGGTTTATCTGGTTTAGGATCACTGCTCTTGTTAAGGACTTATAGGTCTGACATTATGTTATCAACCACTACCAGAACCTAACTCTGAATAAATTTTCATTTTGAATGTATTGTTATCTATTGTCAAACTAAGTAGTGATGCATTGTGAATTAAGACCCCTGACCATCCTCCCTTTCTTGAACTCTTGAAAAGCAGCTTAAACCGAAGAGTGTGCGTTGTGTTTAACTTCAAGGAGCCCTTAGGATACTACTAAGTTGTTACCTTAGCGAGGGCCGTCATGAGCACAGCGGTGAGCCTGGCCCGATGCTGCAGCGGTGTCTCCATCCTGCCCAGCTGGGACACGGACAGCTCATACAGCAGACACTCCACCACCTGCAGCATGTGTATATGGTACATGTACAGGAGACCCACACTTAAGACACTTTACCTGCTGCTGATGGCCATCATACATGTAGTTGAGCAGAAATTGTTTTCTACAATGAAAGACAGCTTTAAGGTTAAAAAGCAACTCTTTGACTAATAAACAGGATTGTATTGCTCGTGACATACCTCGTAATACTGTGAGATGATATCTGGAGTACATCTCCTGTCATATGTCACTGACATGTACTCCCCTATAGCCCATGCCTGGACAAGGAAAACAAGACAGGTTATCAATTATTTTTGCTAGTGCCAAAATGAATGGACAGCAGCATTGAAGGATGTCTTCCATAATGGACTGTGAAATAATAAACTTTGATTAATCCCTAACATACTACTGCTACCCCTGCACATCCAAATTGGTATTGGTTAACCAGTAACATGCCTGTATAGATATGTACAGAGCTGTGAAAGTACAAATGTATATGAACTATACCATACTAATGCCTGAACCAAAGAAACAGCATACAAAGCCATATTACACATTCAACCAGACACTATATAATTGGTCTTTATGAAAATTTGTGTCAAACTGGTGTTCTGAGATTCCCATGTTACTCAGAAGACCCACCAGGTGCAAGAAGACGTCTTCCCTCCCAGTGAAGTTCCTGGGGCTGGACATGAGTTCCTGCACCTCCTGTCTGTTGTCTATCAGCAGCCCTGGGGATGTCTGCACAGCCCACACTAAAGCCTCACTCAGCACCCTATGTGGACAGTAACAACATAGTAACAATTCAATAACAAAACAGTATCAACACAGTATCAGATTCTGTACCAGCAGCCCTGGGGCTGTCTGCACCATGGTCAATACCTACATTAAACCATGAATTCTTGACTGATTTTCCTACAGAATGATGATTCTGAAAACAGAAGAAGTCTGACCTACCGCTTCACTTCAGTTTGGAAGGTTTTGATGGGGAAGAGCAGGCTAGACCGTTCTAACAGGACTGGGAAGAGCCTGGCCAGCAGATCCACACTGGCCTCCTGTTCCACTGTCTGTAGGTACACCCTGGAGGGAGAGGGCAGGTGTTTCATTCCATTATGCCATAGTGACAATAAGACATGGACATGAAATAAATGGCAGTATTCAGAGCACATAAACACTCCAACAAGTAACATTACAGTTTTGCTACAAAGATGTGAGAATAAGGATTCACACATAACATACAGACTTTGTGTAAGTCTTACTAAGTTTCATTGTAGACCTAAAACCTGCCGTTTAATGCATCAATGTACATACCTGAGTAAGACTGGAGCAGCCTGGGAACATATCACAACACGAGGGAGGGTGGAGTAGTCCTGTAGGATGTCATGCAGCACTTTCAGCCTAGAGACAGACGGAAATATTTGGTCTTGTCCATAAAAGAAAACTACGGAGTGTTTGGTTGATACAAAAGAATTACTCACTAAGATTTTGTACACATGAATATCAAATACAGAGAACAATTTTGAAACACAATTGCTGACATCTTACCTGTCAATGGTATCTCCCAGCCCACCCTCTGCCCGAAGGATGAAGTTGAAGAGAGGACGATGGAGGGGGTCTGTGTACGCCAGCTCTGGTGTAGTCTGTGTCATTGCTTCAGGACTCAAATCTGTCACTGTCAGGGATGCACGTTGCTCCACCCTCATCACCGTTTCCATGGCAGCAGTTATGACTGGCAGGTCCAGCAGACAGTGAAACACCTCAATCGCCGTCTCCTCACTCACCATGGTTGGGAGCAAGTCCACAAACTCAGCTAACAAAGTCTTCGGCTGCCACGCAAACACTTTCAGAAGACAGGGGAAGAACTTCCTGAGGACTGCTGTATTGTTACAGAGGTTTTCCATGTTTTCCAGGCAGAAGAGTGTTCCTTCAAAAGCCAGGGGCTGATCTATGCACTGCTTGTCTAAGATCTTGAGGAAGAAGTGCTGGAGTGCTGGCCCGGTGTCGTACATGACTGCATCGCTGTGGTGCAGGAGGAACTGTAGGATGTTGATGATGTTGATGCTGGAAGTGGGGTTGTTCTGTATCCTGTTGTACACACGTTTGATGGAGGGGAAGACTCTGGGTATCAGACTGGAGTTCTGTTGGCACATGGTGTCCAGCAGGAGGATGACCTCTGTCAGACAGGCCTGTCATGTAGTAAGCAAACAGTAAGAGAAGACTAAAAAAAGTATGCATTTCTTTATCAGTACACAATAGAGTACGTCTTTTCATATATCAGTACGCAAGATACTGATAAAATATAGATTATCAATGATTTTGATTTTGCCACCAGTTTGATCACAGCTTTGTCTGGTAATCATCCAGTTTATTTCTGACATGCTCTCAAACATGGTCATTTCCTAACCCTTCACGAGGAAGGCAAATATAGTGTCTGCAAGAAGTCTTTTCTGCTAATCTAAAGTACTCATTGGCTAACATATCCCTTGTCCTTGGTGCTGATTTGCTTTCACTTGGCTATCCAAACTTTGATTTGACCTAGAAGAGTCCTGAGACTGACCTGTTGTAGCTCAGCATCCTGCTGTAATACAGCCTTCCTCTCACACTGGTCCAGCATACGCAAGCAGTACTCACACATTTTATCTACCAGGAGTCCCATGGCTGCTGACTCTCCTGTAATACAGGGTGACACAAAAGTGGCATTATATTTCAACCACCTCCTAACTACCAAAGTCCATTAAAATAAAAAGATTTGGTACCAAAAGGCCAAATTCTTAAGATGATTGGGGGCTCTTATTGACCATTTTTGGACTGATGCTTGTGAAGCCATCCCCTCATCATGGAGAAGACCTGCATGTTGAGGAACTGGTCCGGGCTGTAGTACTGTCCCACACTCAGGACTGTGAACATGTCATGGGACGGTGTCTCATCTACCTGGGGGGCAAAATCAATTGGTTGGTGAAAAATTACTCCCAAAAACTGAAACAGTACATGAGATTCAAAAGTCAAAGCCAAAGGCATTACTAACAGACAAGGCTTATTAGATAAATTTCAATTGTCTGATCAAACCATTCAAAAGTACATGTACTCAATTCAAATGGACATTGCAATAAATGTTTTTGTTGCATGAGTCCAAATCTGCCCAGTCAGTTTTGCAAAAACCTATCTGGCAGAAACCACAGTTGAAGCTTATATCCCATTCCATTCACAACAGCAGCTTACTTCAGTGACAGCCACCAGCTGCCGTGAGGAGAAGATGTTTTTTGAGAAGGGGTTGGGCGGCTGAGTTGTGCTGGTCGTTGTCAGCCAGGTACACAGCTGTTTACTTACTCCATCCACCTGGATAGGATGACATGCACATAAACATTTTTTTTTAATCCTGAAGAACATGGAAGACGTTTTGACTTAAAAGTCAGCAAAGAAAGTGAAGCATTTTTAAGTAAATAACTAAATCTACAAAGATGTAGGTAGTCAGTATAAAGCATCACCTGTTCCTGTGTCAGGGTGATCACTTCAGAGTTGTCCATTCCCCACAGACAGCCAAGAACATGTGTGATAGCAGCTGTATCCACCTGCCCTGCACCTGTCAGCCAGGTAAGCAGCTGTTCTCTCAACACCTGCAGGTCTACAACAAATTCAGCCCTGAATGCTAAATGTGATTAACATCTACATGTCAGTCTCAGGACTCTTCTAGGTCAAATCAAAGGGTTTGTGTGATGATGATAAGGGCATCCTGAAGTGAACAGTCACGTAAGAGCCAATCAGCACCAAGGACAAGGAATATATCAGCCAATCAGTAGCAGGAAAACATTATCAGAACACAATGTTTGCCTTCACCTTGAGAGGTTAAGAAAATCGTGTGAGAGTATATCATGAGCATCATCATACCTAATTATGAGGATGATGTCCTTTCAGCACCAAGGACAAAGAACTGTGATGTCAAATTACATTGTACTTGGTTTGAGCAGGGGTTTGAGTGATATCGAATACTGGTAGGATGCAAAATCAACATTATTACTCATAGAAATAAAGGAAAGACAGAATCAAACCATAGCAATTGTACTGTAAGATCTGATTTTACAGAGGTGTATTACCTGGATGATAGTGCCCCACCCCAGCTACTACAGGCAGTGTGAGAGCCAGGCTGGAGGAGGACAGTGGTCCTGATGACAGCTCTCCTGCTCTCATGCAGACAGACTGGCACGGGGATAACTCCTGTGGGGTGGGGAAGAACCTCATCAACATTGTGCAGATACTCATGAAGGGTGTCTCATCATTATCATCATCATGATGTCGGGTGGCTTACCCAGGCTGAGGCAACTCTCTTTACTCTATTCACATAGGGTGTTTAAGCATCTTTAATTTGTTCTTTGGAGTCCTTGCTGCTCGATCAGATTCTGAGCTGTAGAATGTACACTGTAGTTCTTACCTGTAGTATAGCAGCACACAGGATACGGATCATGACAGGACCTAGGTGAGGTTCTTTAACAGCTTGCCAGAGCGGCATGAGCAGGTCAGGAGGGACATCTCCTCTGTACCTGGTACAGGCCAGGCTCAGCCACAACTGTCTCAGACTGGGGGTAACGTCTGCTATGGACTGGCTCTGTAAGGGTACGTTAACACTGTCAACTCTACTTAACAACTACAGATGCACAACACAGTACTGTACAGTGTATAGGAGAACCAAAAATTTAGTACACATTGTATCAATAGATGGTGAAGAACATCACATTCTTAATTTAACTGTAATCATCACTCATATGGAGGTAGAATGTGTCTTTTAACTCCATGATTATATAAACTGCAAATTATATAATGTTACAGTCTGTATAACAGTTAACTATTTGCGGTTTGCAACTTTGGCCAGATGAGGCTTAAATAAATTATTAATATCAATACTTAATCAAGTATCCATGTAACTGTAATTAATGTATTATCATCATCATTTTCAATTTAGACAAACATAAATTTTGTACCTTAAGCGCCTCTTGCAGTCCACGGTAGAACTCTTGTAGTTCCTCATGACTGATTGCCCGAGCTCGTTCAATTATGGGTCCTACACTGTCCATGGTGACTTCACCTGAAATCACCTGTACAAATATAATACCATGTTGTACATGTGTACCTTATGCAAAGTCAACATTGAAGTCAGGTAGGAAATTTTACATGTCTGAATATGCACCAGGGCTGACAATATGAGAGTCAAGTAGACAATGTCATAATCTAACCTACCTGCAGCACATGACGAGGTAATATTCAGCACAGGAAAAACCACCACAGATTTCTGGAAGATAATCTGACTTCCTGGTTGTGGCACTGTGGCCAGAGAGACCAGAGAGGATCAGCTGACCGACGTTCTAACCTTTACCCTTTGACCCGTCGATCCGTGACCCTAATCTGATATTAAGCGATGTGATCGGGAAAATGCGTCAACAAAAACACCCGATAAGATGATTCTGTTGCCGTCCAGGGGATAAGAAGTGTGTTCCTTTTGGATCTAGTGTACTGGAGAAGCGCTGCGCTGGGTGATTCTGAGATCAAACTGCTGCAAATCGACTGTAAGGATACAAGACAAGACAGGGAGGGAGGGGGGCGCCGCTTGTTTTGAAAACCCAGAGATCTGGTACTGTTTGATGTGATGTTGAGATTTAACTCTTCATGGCTCTCAGATAACCTAGGTAAGCCACGGCCTTGAGGGAGAAGGGAGACTTCGGACCAACAGGGAAGGCCGTGGTTTGGGACAGGCAACAACGTACACATGGTGGTAGTGGTGAAACGGCTTCTACTGTTACTACAAAGAGTAACAATCCCTGTATAAACCGATAGAAGAAGAGCAAGACCACTTCCCTGCCGGTGTTGATGTGACCCTGGCATGTCTGGGAACAGGACAACACTCGACTCAACACATTAGGAAGAAGTTTCAAGGCTGTAATCCAGATTTCACGACAGAGAAAACAAAACGTCATCAATGTCATAAAACAGTTAAATAGTGGAGACAAAAATTGAAGCATTTGAAGGTTGCGTGAGAGAGAAAGATGAGCAGCGTACAACCATCAACCATGGTCAACGATGTACAGCTTCGTTTCCTCTGTCCAGAAGACATCCACACGGTCAAGAAACTGTGTTCAGACTGGTTCCCTATTGAGTAAGTATGGTATGGTGGTTAATTTAGAACTTCTTAGCATTGGTACTGCATCTGTGTATAATACACAGATGAGAATAGGATATAAAAGTTTGTAATCAGAAACATTGTTTTAAGAAGACATAGCTTCCTTTTTACCGGTTTTGTTTTCCTCGAAATGTATTGTGATGGGGACTTAAAGCAAAATATTTTGTTGTAACAATATCTTATGATTGGATGTATGTACACAAAACCTCACTGTCGTTTGAGAAAAATACATGATATGAAAGTTAATCAGATCTGTTGGCTTATATTTGTATTGATTTATTCCAGGTATCCTGACTCCTGGTATGAGGAGATCACATCTAACCCCAAGTTCTTCTCTCTGGCCGCCACCTATCACTCCAACATCATCGGGCTCATTGTGTCTGAGGTCAAGTCAAGAAACAAGATACACAAAGAGGTAACCAGCTGACTAGAACAATAACCTGATAACTAAATAGCCATTAGTTAAAGTGAAGACATTCAGATTTATTTGAAGACATATGGTTACGTAAGTTAACATCTAAACTTTAGCATCCAAAAGATATGTTTCAATGTTATCCTGAGTTTGAGATATTGGTATACTGGTAAGGATTTTGTAGATTACAATGTTCATTATGAATGTTGAATGAACACTTGTTGTATCACACCCTTTTCCATAGGATCGCACAGTCTTGGCCTCCAGTTACCCAGACAACACACAGGTGGCATATATCCTCAGCCTAGGGGTGGTGCAGGAGTACAGGCAACATGGGATAGGTGAGGAGCATCCTTCTGACAGTCATAGTGTTTCAGTGTGCAATACCTGTTTTAGTCATTAGCTTTACAATGTGGGTAAAGAAGGTGTAAAATACTGTATAGTGTGAGTAGGAAGCTATTCTATGTTACAGGATGTGCCATGATTCATTCTTGTATGGCATGTATAAGGCCACACCAATTTAATGTCTTGGTTAACGGATTCGCCGCTTCATTTTTTTCTGATTTGGAGATAAAAATAAAAATCCAGAATCAACTGCAAAATGCTCATATTTTGCCCTGAACAGTTGAAAACAGTCCTTTTCATCCTAGTTGTTACAGTTATTCCATCTTTCAATGCAATGGTATCATTAAAAGTTCAAAAGTCATTGTTTAAATTTTGAACCAGCCTGGTGTGTTGACTTCATGGCTCCTATCGTACCATTTGGGGCCATAATAGGATGCCTAGGCCTGTTTTATTTTATTATTTTTTCGTCCGCCCGCTCCATTATTTTTCTAGAAAAATCCGTTAACCAAGAAATTAAATTTGTATGGCCTAATCATAATGTTCTGAGAGGTCATAACTGTTCTGAGAGGTCATAACTGTTCTATTAGTATTACATCTAATTTACCCTTTTATGTTTCCCCCATCTCAGCCTCTCTCCTCCTGGAGACTCTCCTGTCCCACCTGACCACCAGTGAGAGACACAACGTGAAGGCGGTGTACCTCCACGTCCTCACCACCAACACCACAGCCATACGCTTCTACGAGCACAGGAGCTTCCGACGCCACAACTACTTGCCATACTACTACGCCATCAAAGGGGTCCCAAAGGATGGCTTTTCATATGTGCTGTATATAAATGGAGGGAAGCCACCATGGACTTTTACATATCCTTTATGTGACATTTCTTGTGGTACTTTAGAAGGCATATACATGTGGTTTGTTTCAGCAGTATCATATTGTCAAGTTATGCCAAACTTAACATGCAATATAAACGTATAGTAGTACATTGAACTTTCTTGCTATACTTGATGTACCCATAGTAAATACAAAGTGTACATCTACTAGTACATGGAACTAAAAATGTATGCCTTAAACACAATACATTTGTACCTGCTACTGACTTCCTTAACTCCTTCCTACAGATTGCATCTCGTACATGTTTGCCCACTTACAACACCTGCAGCTGTGCTCCCTCCCCCAGCGACTGTTCCGTAGACTCAGTACAACAGTCTGGGGTGTCGTACCCCTCCTGTACTCGCCTCATCGGAAAACCAACGGGCCCTGTCACACCATGTGAGCTGTACAGGCCTGTAATACCATGTGATGAACTGTATGGGCCTGTCATACCACGTGAACTGTATGAGCCTGTCACACCATGTGAACTGTATGGGCCTGTCACACCATGTGAACTGTATGGGCCTGTCACACCATGTGAACTGTATGGGCCTGTCACACCATGTGAACTGTATGGGCCCGTAACACCATGTGTACTATACAGGCCTGTTACAGCATGGGAACTGTACAGGCCTATAACACCATGTGAGCTGTATCAGGGCCTGTCACACCATGTGAACTGTACAGGCCTGTCACACCATGTGAACTGTACAGGCCCGTCACACCATGTGAACTGTACAGGCCTGTCACACCATGTGAACTGTACAGGCCTGTCACACCACGTAAACTGTATGGGCCTGTCACACCATGTGAACTGTACAGGCCTGTCACACCATGTGTACTATACAGACCTGTAACACCATGTGGTGCCTAAAGATGTGCAATCTGTGACTGTTCGTGTTGTTTTATTGACTCATGTTGAATGATCTTGTGTACAACAATAAAATATAATGGAAAAATAGGATAACACTATTGTACAGTGTGGCACAATATTGTCAACTGTGCCTAGAATATGGTGAAGTAACGTAACTGTGCTGCAAAATGTATTGCATGACTGAGAAACACATTGTGCAGCATTGCATGTGTGTTAGTATTTACAAAACAGTATTCTTTAATGTATTGACCTCAATCACTTACAAGTTGCACTGTTTTAATCTGAAGGCATAGTTAATTCTTAAAATGCACATTCTGCACTGTAAAGCAAGTAGTGCCAATGTACATGACCTTGCACTTGACCAGTTAGCTTGTTGACTCTTGGTGTACTGAACAAGGTACAGATGTGAGGATCTGTCCATCTGCTGACACATGCAGTCATCGTCCACCATTCCATCTGTCACTGGACAATGGATACGCCAGAGAGAAGATTGCGTCTAATCCTGAATCACTGGAAAGAATAATATCTGCAGTATATCACATCAAAAACAGAATTTTAAACTAGAAAAGCTGTACAATAGGGGTGTTAAAGCTCACAGTGCATGTAAAACATACGATGTTCCGTCTTTTCTACAACTGCAACTTGTTGTACATTCTATGAATTGAGGTCCACATTTTCACAGTACCTGGCTTTTAGTCAATCCCCTATACAAGTCTGGATGGTTGAGTGTCTATGTAGCATATCATCAGACTGTGCACAAAAGGGGAGAGACTGACCATTTAGTTCTGTATTGGAGGTTGACTCTGTGTCCCGATTCATTCCATAACATTGATGGTGAAAGTTTGTCATGTACTGGTTAGTGATGTATTTATTCCCATGACAACATACGTCCCATGACAATTACTAGTAATAGTATGAACATTTAGTGTTGGTCAGTATTTGTACTACACATTTATTTTGTATTTTCAAAAAAAACATCTTTTTACTTGGATTGTTGACTAGTGTAAAGCTTGTTCAACCTATTTGATAATGTGATAAAGTAAAAGATGGGTAAAAGTCTTGACAGCCATATTTCTTGTGCATGGCTGGCAAATTTGTGTCACTTTTAAAGCAGAGATTGTTGTGTACATGTAGTATTTATTTAGATTTCTGTACATATGAGAATATCAGGAATGTTTTAGGCAGCTTGCATGCTACATGTATCTTTGTATCGTAAACAACAGTTCTGATTTATGAGCAAGTCTTCTATTCTAAACCATTGTTTGAAAGTTACACTTGGAAAGAACCTTTACCTGGTACTAATGTATATTGGTACATTGTTATATATGAATTGACAAAGTTATGATTAACACTCATGTTTTGCTCCTGAATTTGGTCTCGCGCCCACTGAGGCATTGAAGAGCTGGATGTCCTAACACACATTCGTTTCATCCCGACAGTTTTAGGTGTTTGGGGAAATTTGTTATTGCTGGGATATTCCATTTTTGTAAGACTAGAAACATAATAAGGATGAATGGGTGAAAAATGTCTTCTCTTCTATGACTCCCTGATGGACTCCTTCTATGACTCCTGCTGCCTAAACCCGTGACCAATAGAGAATCGTTAGCCAACATGGCTTCTTTAGTGTGCTTAAGGTTAAGGGTAGGTCTAAGTGGTTTTGGGCCTGACATAAAAACACACTTTCCCACCATGTCATGATTATTTACAATTTTGCTTTTTGCTCCTCTGAGGCTTACCCAAGTATTTACTGACAAGTATTTACTGACACCTCAGGCAGAGACAATAGATGGCTATACATCGGTGAAGGTTAGACATCCAGGTGATAGGATACGCCAAAAAACAGTTACTCAAGCAACTGGATATGATTTTGGATGCAGTTGCTTGAGTAAATGCTTTGGTGAATAGATGGCTATATTGTAATATTTTGTTTAGACCATTTTGGAACACATAGGTGTGATGAGCATTGACTATATGCATGACTTGAATGTGTCAAGCTGGTCTTGCGTGGACATGGAAATGTTTGTGTTCTCAACTTTGTTACCTCAAGGCAATTTCTTTGCTCTTTTGTAACACATGTATGTTTGTCTGTCCCACTATAGCAGTGATTACCATTGTAACAGTTATGTTTTGACCATGCTGTCACCAGCAGTTGTACATGTACCATTAAATGTTGAACCAACACTATTGAGAATTGTTTTACTATTCATTTTGTCCTCACCATTGATGACAACAATCTTGCCTAGAGCTAGATTTTTCCACTTCATTTTTCTAATGTTACATATCAGCAGTTTGGCAGCTATATGTAAAGACTATCCTGACCAGTAAAAATGTGATCCATGAGTAGAAAATTGATGCTTTTCAAAGGATGCATACAGTTCAATCTTTAGAGACGTCCAAATCACAAAGAGCTGGATAACTGTGCATTACAAAGGCAGTTATCTAGGATGACTATAACAATTATTACAAAGTATCACAACACAAGAGACGGGAGTAAGGAATAGTTTCCACATGTTTATTTTACTCTAAACCTCTTAATTCATACACATAGTATATCATATCTTATTACCATGTATGCACATTGTAGATACATGTATGTCCTTAGTATGTCCTGTACATATGTATTTCAAATCTTGACAATGACTATTTTGCTTCCATGATACTGTGGACAAAGGTTTGTGATTCACACATTGACTCTTGTTGAATGTAAGGAGATCTATAAGGATTTTGTAAATACACAACATCTGATACAAGAGCGCATTACTATCATAATAGCCATTTTTGTCTCTTGCTTCTTACATGTTTTACATCCAACTTCACATTTAGTACATGTTACATGTTTTACATCCAACTTACATGTTTAGTACATGTTACATGACAAACCTGTACCAGTAATCACCTCTGTATAAAGAATACACTTGTAAAGACCACGTCCTGGCCAGTGTTTATCTGCTACTATAACTCACAGAAGCAAGGAAGGACAGTTCAGTATCATCTAATATATCTATTCTGAATAAGGAACCCTGGATCGTCTCTACATGTAGCTATACACAGCTCTGGTGGACAAGCACTTCCGATATTAGTGACATTAATTACATTTCAAAACTCAGCTTTGATTGCTTTACACGTAAGGCAATCTTGGATCTATAATATTGCTTTGAATTCATCTAATGGTTTCAAAGACTATAATTGTTACTAATGCTGAGTTTATCACCTTTACACTGCTACAGAGAAATAGAATATTATATTAGTAAAAGTAGAAATTGTTACCTAAGCTTAAAACTTACTTCTTCTATTCACTGGTAAAGTGAGGTATATTAGATACAAAAATAAAAGTATACTAAAGTACGTCATAGGAAAATAGATGAAATTTAAAACTCATCAAATCATACTTGCAACATCAAAATTTGAATGACCTAATCATTGAGATTAAATCTTACTTACTGACTTATTCTTGCAACCAGTTTTCATCATAAGAGTTACATAGTAACCTTTCAACCAAACTACAGAAATCCTTTCTTCTCCTAAAGCAAATGGTATCTTATACTGGCTGGCACAACACCAAGACAGGATTATCAACATGCTGCTTTCCTAGTGTACATTGTACGTCCATCATACATTTTGTATTGATGATCAGTTAACATTGAAATATGTTATCACATCTTTCAGCTTAGGTTATCTCCAACAAGTCCTAAATATCAAGGCCAAATATCAATAAATTAAGTTTTCTATATACATAGATGAGAGATAAAAGTATTGGATGCTGATGACAGCACATGCACTCCTTCTATCTTTTGGGTTTGGTACTGCATGGGCCAACCTTGTATTTTCTCATGATGTCAGCAACAAACTCAAACCTGGTTGCCCTGTTGTGGAGACGCTGAAGGGGTTTCTGGAGAGGAAAACCATTGCATACGATCATATTATTCATATGAAAGTCAGTATGCTTTCATAACTGCTGTAAAATTCAGATATATGAATGTGTTTTTAGTTCTACTGTACTACAGAATTGCTTCAACCACAAATTTCAAACACTGTGAAAACCTGTTTCCCTCCTACCCCAAAATAAAACCCCCACAAAGGTGAAATTCATGCATTTACAGTATGACTATCAGATGCCCAAATGAGCAGCTGTATAAGAAAATGTTGAGAACAGCAATTATATACCAAATTTTAATCAGAATGTTTGTCTGGTACAAAATTTTGGGTAACAGTCATCATCATCATTGAAGTCCAAAGACAACAGCCTTTACCTGAAGAAACTGTATGTTGGAAGACGTTGACCGGTGAGGTACATGGATGGCCCACACATTGGGAAGCACAAGGAACTGGTAACTTTGGGAAGAAAGAGGAGGTTATCAACTACTTTGCCTGTAGGATACTGATTACTGACTTTAAAAACAACTTCTAGTCTTTTTTTGGCCTTAAAAAATCAGTTGAAATAATACTGCCAACTATTGCCATCTTTTAAAAGTCCCCTACTCTGTTAGTCATGGTTAGTTTGTCTCCAAAGAGGAGCATCTCACCCTGCAGCTAACAGCTCCATAGTGTGGGTGACTTTGTTCATGCCGTAACCTGAGAACCGCTCATCGTACAGTGGAAGACTGGAGGACATCCTGTGGGCAGAAGGGAGAGTCATTCAGACAAGATACAGTACATCCTTAGTTGAGATACAGAGAAACGTTCTGCACAGAAATGTATAAAGTTAAACCACAGCAGGAAAATACATTTGTAATGTACACATATAATCTCTGGACTTTGAGATAGACCTATAGCTTAAAAAGTAAATGCAGGTGGAAGATATTCTGTTGATGCTTTTGTATGATATTCTACACATTCAAGCTAATGCTTAAACCTGACTGTCTTGGATTGCCACAATACACATTAGTACATTGTAGCTCTCATCTTAAACTTTGGATGTGCTGAAGTAAAAAGAGACAAGCGAGTTCTTCCAGTTGCTTTCTCTCACCTGAGAACCAGGTAAGGTTCAAATTTGTCCTGGTAGGTAGAGACAGGGTACACCTGTTCTTCTGCATACCAGCGCTGATAGTCTGTGGGGCGGTGGGACTCAGGAGACTCAACAGATCATACACACTGTCAAGGAATACTGTCTGATAATATAAGCTTATCAAAATGTAGAATAGAACTTATAAGGTTATATGTATTAGTATATAAGAACATTAAATGTACCTGTAGGGAAAGCACTTGCAATCAACTCAGCATTTTGAACTGAACTGAACTACATGTATGGGTAACCGTAACACTTGTGGACAGAGTGGGTCATGGGAGTTCTTTACTGAGCTCAATAGTGTCATTTTCTTGTTCTTTCTTATCCTTTATATGTCATGAGCAGAAGAAAAGTAGCACTGACTTTCTCACTAATTCTCCATAACTACTAACTGCAACATATCACAATTGTTTGAAAGCTTAGTAGGAAACGGAATAGATCTTGGTTGTCCATGAAATGAAAGGATATTGAAGGGCAAAATGTTGGCATCGTCAGCAAAGATCTGTTGTTTGAGAGCCTCTTTGTCCTGAGGGGGAGGTTGGTCCTGAAACAACAACAATTTCTTATAAAATCATGAAAGTTCATCTGTGCTGGTAGATACGTGTTCAGAGAGGGACATTCAAAATGAGCAAACTTATTACATAACTAATTAGGGAAGAAGAAAAGACCAATTTACAAGGAAGCCTCATGTTACAAATTTTTTTTCTTATTCAAGAAAATCTTTGAACTTTTCACCTCTTGTTCCTCTAAGAACTCGAAGGCAGGAACCACGTAGGCATTTCTGTCTGTTGGGTCTGACTCGTCTGTTATCAGTAACCTGGGGTAAGCACAGAGTTTTGTTATACATAGAAACATACTAAATGTATATTCCCCACAGCAGAAAGGGGGAAAACAGACATTATATCATACACTGAAATTTTCAGATTGTCTCTTTTTTATTCATCTTGAAAGACAAGGTTCTCACAACTTAGTATTGATGCTTTACCTAAAATTTTCTTGGAAGTTGGGAGAAGGAATGAAGTCAGCATCCAGGAGGAAGACATATTTACTTTTCACCATTCTGAAACAAAGGAAACATCTTGAAATGTGATAACAACATGTTATTGTACATGCATTTGCATTGAAATTCAATAGTTAAAATTGAATTCTATAAAATTGCTGGTATCGAGAAAAGAAAACCTTCCTGTAAAACTAATAAGTTCACATTCTTCTCTACCAGTAACCCAGCATATCCATGATTAAGTAGCACTTTGTAATATCAACTAATTGTATTAAACTAAAGCACAAAGTACATTACCAATATTTGAAACAAGAACTTACTGTAGAGCCAGATTTCTGAGATAGTTGATGGGATACTCATCGTTAACCTGAAAGAAATCAAGTACCTTTTACTGACTTACAGATTATACCGTGTAGAGTATATTTTTTAGAAAATCCCACACTGATGATTTGTAAGAATGATACAAAAATTTGTAAGAATGATACAATATAACGTATCCTGAAGGATTTGAGTACTCACCACATTTGCATACACAGCCAGAACACTACAAAAGGTTCGAAACTTGGGATGTCTCAACTTCTTGTTGATGTAGTATCTGTGGCAGCAAAGTTCACAGTCATGTCAGTATTTTAAACATTTGTAACATCTACTCTGTCAAAGACTGGTGTCAGTTCCTTCTGTTTCATGTGCTGAGGAAATAATATTTTTGAAGGAGATATTTCTGGCATTCCTACCTTTTCCAGTCGTGATTAGTGTCAGGTTTCTCTGAGGTTGTTGGTACATACAGAGCCACTGCCATGGGCCCATCCCAGTGTCTGATGATCCGGTCTAACATGGTTATCCGGTCCATGGACACCTGGGTCACCAGGGTCACTGTGTCTTCTTTGTACTGAAAGTGGTAGCACATTCAAACATGATTCAAATCCTGAACATTGATTTCAGTTTATCATAAGACATTTTTCTTTAAATAACATACTGCAGCAAAAGAACATATGGCTGTGCATATAGAATTATACATTTGTACATGATCAAGACAGGTGAAATCAAGTGCAATCAACAAACCTGACTGAATGTTGCATTGAAGATGTGCTCGTAGTGGAAGGTAGGTTTGGTGGTTGACACGGGGGACAGAGCGGCTGGTGGACAGGAGGAAACAACGTCCTCTCGCTCTGTAGCAATCCTCCCTCCTGCTGTTCATACAAATATCATGTGTGTTAGAAAATATGTAAAAGATATTTCTTTGCAAGTAGAAGCACAGAGAATTGCTGTGTAGAGCTTGATATCTTCCTTACCTATGACAGGCTTGAGAATGATGTCAGTGAACTTGACCAGCCCCATGTAGCCGTGACAGAACAGCATGACCAGCACGCTCACAACCTGACGATTATTTGGTATGCCCTGGAACAGCAAACAGGTCAAAGGTCAGCCAGAGAATTTTTATTTGCTACTCATACACGTGAATGACATAAAACATCATGTTGCAAACTGCTGCCCAAAATGTAAGATTGTAGTCACAATTTCAAGTGGCAATATGACAATGTGAAGACTCCGTACCATATCATTTTCAGCTGCAATAAAAGGATGACTTCCACTGGGAAAATCTAACCTGCAAATAACAAATCAAACAGTTAGAGAGGATGTTTTAGAGATGCATTTCTGGATTAGGTTAATTGTATGTTCTATTGAAGACATCTTCCTGAGGTAATCCAACAGTAATACACAGATTATACCATCTGATTACGGATTTTGGGTGAAAACTACATTACCTCAGGGTCTGATGACTTCCATCATCAAACTTCACCATAGCTATTGCACTGTAATCAGCATCATGGACCTAAAAGGGAAGATATAGAGGTCATAAAAATGGAAATACAAAAAGTCAGTTATGCCAAATCATTTCATCAACTCACATTGGTAATGGCCTCTACTAATGCTCTTTTAATGTTCACCAAACAAAATTGACAAGTAAATTAGAAAGATCATAATACACATGTAGTTGTTTAAGAACAGTATTCTTACCGAGTCCACAGATTGTAGATCTACAGCTGCACTGCGAGCTGAGAAGTAGATAGTCTTGATGTCTGTATCAGGCCTGATCTGAGAAAACAGTACCATGCATAATATTAAGATATACATAGCTTTTGCAACATTTAAGGAAAAGAACATATCAATATATACAGTATGTATGTATAAAAAAACTTTGTTCACTTACTGGTAGATACTGGTAGACTGCCCGTACACTGTCTGCCTTACACATCACACTCAGAACCTGATGGAAACAACAAACACGTTGAAGATGTTCAAAATCAAAGTATTTTCACAAGCCATTCATGTACTATATACAATTTATACATCATGTACGTGAAGAATGATGACAATGATTGATGATATAACCTTCAAAGAAATACATATCCTGCTATTGATAACTTTACCTATATGCTGGTAGATAGAAATTATCACAATGTCAGTGAACTCATGATGTACATCTATGTGGCAAAAACAATCCCACCTTTTGGCACAAGCTGCGTCCCCCCACGGTGCAGCTGACCTCCTCCTCCCAGCGGACATGTGGGACCCACCAGCCATCCACACTGATGTGGGTCTGGTCAGTCATCTGGTCCAGCAGCACGTTTCCATCCCAGTCCTCCACAGCCTCCGGATCTGCAGGATGCTTCTCTCTGTGTGTGGTAAACAGAAGGTTTTATTTAGACTTCCTATGTATAGTACTAGTATACTCGTAGTTGGTTACTGGGGAAGTTAAAATAAACATCCATAGTGTAGAAATCTATTCATGTGATTTTTATATGCCTGTACTTAAATCACAAACACCAGAACCTTGACCACCCAAATCTGCATACTGCAAACCTTTTTAGTTTCCAGTTTCTGCAGCTCAATATGTGCAGTGAAACAAGCTTGTGGTTGTGATGCTGCATTCATTCTATAAATGTGAAGAGCCAAAATTTCACATGAATTGTATTTTTGTATGCATAAAGTTGGTAATTTATAGATATATGTTGCAATAAAAATCGCGACCTGAGACTTTACAGCACCAATATATCTTAACCATCATCTTACGTTATCAGTTGGTCGTCATCATCGTACTGAAAACATATCTATTCTTGTGTAGATGCGTAACTTAATGATTATGCATGGGGCTCCAAAAAGATACATGTACTATCATTAGAGGCCTGTAATAATGGCGACATTTGCATGTTTGTAAACAAAATTATGCGGCCAGCGTGTGCGTACAAGCGATGTGTTGGTTTAGCTTACCGTGCTGCAGGCTGAGATCTTAGCGTGGGTAGATACAGGACGGTCACAATGACGGACGTCAGTGAGAGGCCGAATGCAACCCAGAGGATGGCCGTAAGCGAGCAGACGGGCGCCCGGCGCGCCAGTTTTCTTCTGCTTGTCATCTTCGATCAGAAGAACAACAACCCGTGGTAGCCATTTTGGAAGGTCATAGGTCGTCTAGAAGACCCTAACGCCGAACAAATTCTTACTTGATGATAAAATTGAAATATGACATGATTTGTTTCAGTTAAATGCACAATATGTAAAAGATATAAGTTTTTATATGTAAAATAATAAAATTCATAGATTTTATAATGAAGATTTGTTAATAGTGCCTGCAGTGGTAAGTTTTATAGGATAGTTGGTAAATAATAATGGGATACCTAAAGGGCCTTGCCGTTGTTGAAGGACAAAATGGCGGCGGTCGGGAGGTTGGGAAGTGCAGCCGTCCGCTCGTTTCTCTGGCGGAGAACGGCTCTTCTCAGCTCCGCACGGTGTTGTAAGTACCCTCACTACGTCCTCTAGGTTATGCACGACGATACTATGGTACCAGATGCCATTAACTATTGAAGAGTGTCACTTTCCCTAGACGTAAACTTTGGGTAAATTTTCCAAGTCTCCGTTTAAATTTTTTTGCCTGACCTCCTTGGTCTTCACAAACTACTTGTTCCAATTCCGAGGGATTAAATGTAATATTTGCAATTTTTGCAAAGTCTTTGTGTTAACCAAATCGTATTACGATTTGTATGTAAATTTGTCATTATGCCATCAGTGTCTAAGAACGAGCTGCCAGGCCCGTACCCCCAGACCCCAGAGGAATGGGCAGCTGCAGCTAAGAAGTACGGCATGAGGGTGGAGGACTACCAGCCTTACCCTGACGACGGCACGGGGTACGGAGACTATCCCATGTTACCTGAGGAAGGCGTGGAGTCAAAGGATCCATGGGTCGACTGGGACGACAAATGGCACAGGAGGAACTTTGGAGAAGCAGTAAGTTTCTTTAAGTAATACAAATTGTATTTCCTATTAAACATAATGACGTCTTTATGATTTACAAGTTCAATACAAGCTTTATAGCTGCCGACTTCAAACCTTTTTTCCTGTTTTGACATAGCCTTACTGCAATTGTTTGTTGTTTTTTTTTGTCATTGTTGTTGTACTATACACAGGTTTTAATCAGAGGAACAATGCCTCATTGCTGTCCCTTTGTTCAATTCATCTGTATGTAAGCACCTGGTCAGGTGTTAATGTTGGTGTGTTATGCCAAAAAGCGGTTATACCGGCTATACAGATACAGAATGTTCAGGACTAACTTTTCTATGGTATTTTTTTCAGCCACATATTCACATTGACGCATTCACAAGGCAAAGGGTCAACCCTAACCAGAAATATGTGGTGCCGTGGTAAGTACTACTCAGTGTTATGTCTTATGATTACACCCTTTATGTATCAAAGACTTGTTAAACCATCCATGGTCACAAATTATGTAGCAACAAGACATTTAGTAAAGATACTATATCCAGGCCTAGGGATAGGCTATTTTTTCAAAAATTGATATCCAAGGTAGCCCATGTCCTTGTGAAAGGAACAGTATCTGGAGATTGTCTTTGTGATGATGCTCATGATTATTGGAAAGCATGTAACGTGTCTTTTTGTTACCCCCACAGGAAACAAATGGTTGCTGCACTCCTTGGCTTCCTTGGCTTCAATGCTGTCATGCTTTACTTTGGAGAACAATACAAGCATGCTATACCTGTGGTAAGTATGAGTGCCCTTAACTCCTGAAGATACTTGTGGTGGGGGCATAATATCTCTTCATTGTTGAATTTTGGCCACCTTATGGTCACTGCCATTGTTTATTTTGGATCTGCAGATATAAATGTACATGTAGTTGGCTTTTGTTTCCTCCTGTAGGTGACCAAAGCTAAGTTTAATCCTGAAACGTAACTTCTGTGTCAGCAGCTTTTTTTTAGAAACTTTGTTGCATGAAACCAATGTCTCTCTCTTATGCCCCAGGCACCCAAGCAGTACCCATACAATGACCTGTATCTGGAGAAAGGAGGGGATCCCGACAAGGTGTCAGAAGAGGAAATCAAGCACTATGAGTTCCCTAAATCTTAACATGCACATTGACAACATAGACATATCCTGTACAGTGTGGTGGTAATGGAGAGGCATGAAACTATGTCTGTAAATCTATGGTGTGCAAGCATTCAGTATAACAAAAGTAGCCACTGGCAAATATCACCATAAAAGACAGCCTGTTGTTTCAAATGTCCATTTTCAGTGTGGGATGATAAGTTTGTTTTTGAGAAAGACACACTTGTGTGTAACAATATATGTAGTTTCATTTGTGGTGAATACACCTACATTTGTAAACTGGATTGTACACTACTAATGTGTGCAGGCACTTGCCAGATCCTAATTGAACAGATATGAGGATGACTTGTACTACCTTCAGATGTATGGTTTATTAATGTTTGTCCCAATAAATTGAAGTTTCAGTCTCCACATGGTGTACCCATTTATTGACAGCTGTTCTCACATGCTTTAATACAACTGTACTTTGTTATACATCACACTTTAATACATACATTACAGAAACACTGTATGTAGTGGTTATCAGTATATTTCAAGCAACATCAATACTTACATGTACACATCTATCTACCTATAAGGACGGAACAAATAAAACCTATGCAGACATACACCTAGATGAAGGTGAACGTCTTACATTGGGTATCAATTCAAGGACCTTAATTTTGTCATGGTTTGTTTGGTTTGTTTGGTATTGAAAGCTCCAACAGAACTCGTCTTCACTTACAAAACACAAAATACTATCAAACAGAACTTACAATACAATTGAATACATTATAGAACTGTGATGTCCATGTATATGTTGCATGTACTAAATCAACAATAAAATGTTGCTTTATGGCATGGCTTTTATTAGTACAACTCAAAACAATTGCTGCATACCACAGGAAGATCATTTTTAAGACGATCATTTCAAAGTTAGCACGAAAGTACAGACCAGGTTCACTCTTGCACAACATAGCACCAATGTAACCCGCATATTCATTGTTATATTATCTTCTAGTACACTTGTACTTTACTAATTTTCCAAGGATCATGGCATAGTAAAAGTTTTTCCACTCGATGCTATCTTACAGGTTGAAGTTCTGGTGTAGCAGAATTTATGCAATATGATATCCCAGGAGACAGCCCTCTTGTGTGTCCAGTCTTCCACATGTTTGGCACGTCCCTCCGAACAGTTCCACTACAGGCTATATGTGGGACAGAAAGAAAGATTTAGTTCTGGATAATAGAAAAATCCAAACATACATTGTATTGTATCAAGTTAGAGTTATCTACTTAAATCGAAAATTTGCTTGAAAGGTGTACTGAAATCCTGTCAACCAACTCAAGGGTGCATGACAGTATGAACGGCAACGTTATAACAGTAAAACGTCACGTACTGCTCATTGATGTAAACCCGGAATTAGTTGGTTATTATAAGTGTCAACTCACCCCTTGATGCCAGCAGCAGGCGGTGCTGTGGTTCTTCGCTTCTCTGTATCTCCTGAAACACAAATCATCCATTTAGCGACCTGCAGTGAGTCTTTCTGTGCCACTTCACCGGTGAAATCTAGTTGCGCACCTTTCTGTTGTACCGTTAAAGCCAAAATGCATTTGAGAGTTTTGATACTTTATGGACTATCTACATCCCCTTCAGCAAAATGATACTTTACCTATTGCATCTTCTACACTTGATGACGGGAGCACTGTTGGTGATGACCATGTCTGTCTGTGGTCTGTCATCAGGTGAGGTCATGGTGGTCAGGTCGCTATCGGACCTGGCCAGGTGTGTGTCCGGCCGTGCGCCTGACGGAGCCGTCTGAGGCACGGCGGTCAGGAACACTTGTCCGCTGTTCCAGTCCGACAGAGTCATGACGGCCGGCTGGGACATGGACCGCTCGATACCACGGCCAGGCCGGGACCAGGACAGGCGGCTTTTCAACCAACTACAGGGAAACAGTGACAATAAGGGTGTTTTAAAGGTCACAGGTTCTTTCAGAGAAAAACATACAGTACACTGCAGTATACATGTATATGGGAAAGATTAATTGAAATTTAGTCATCCAGTTTTAACGAAGGAAAGAAAAAAGAGGGCTTTGTCTTACCGTCTTTGCTGCTGATCCCTGTAGTGAATGTCCTCCGTCAGTTCCTTACGATGACACCTGACTTGTCCGCGCGACCTCCTGACACTGTCCACAACCTCTCTCTTCAGTTTCTGCTCCATACACTTCTTAGCCTTCTGGTGCGTGAACAAGTCACAGAACAGCGTCCTATGTCCGCACGCCTCACAGTCCACGTACCGAAAGTTACAGTCTTCCAAATGCGCCGCCATATCTCTCCGCTGTAGGATGTCCTTGCATCCTCTGGACTTGTAAGGACAGTCTAAGAACAAGAGCGGGCACTCCTCCATGTGTTCAGCCAGGCCTCCTATGGTACACGTCCCTCCGCAGCCTAAGTTACACCGCATTTCTAACGCCTGTAGGGCCGACTGTAGCTCACGTGGCGCAGGAACGAATCTGGGATGAAAGTAGAATGTTAGATGATACAGTCTCTCATATACGTTGTGATGACAAAGACCACAAGGACAGAAAACGTATCATCTTTAAAGGTAAAATAATGAAGGAACTGGCGCATGTCAATGGCCCAGATCACTGGCCCAAATCAGTATGCGAAGGACGTCAACAAAGAAACATTTAGAAATAGATCATGTTGTTTATTACATGGTTGGGGTGTTCTTACCTTTCTATGAATGGCGTGGAGCAGACCGGACAGACGGCGGAGGTCAGGCGCTTCCGTGAGACGCAGTCCTGGCAGAAGACATGCTGACAGTGCGCCATGACAGGGTCCAGCAGAACCATGTTACACAGGGGGCAGATGAGAGACTCGTCCACATCCCCGACTACACTCGTCAGCTCTACACCCATCCTGGACAGGAGAAAAGGAAGGACGGTTTAAAAACTTTAGACTGTTCTGTATTTACACCATGCTACACAAGGGATAGATGACCCGTCCACATCCCCAACTACACTCGTCAACTATACACCCATCCTGGATGGGAGAAATGAAAGTGGTTTAGACTGTTCTGTATTTACACCATGTTACACAGGGGAGACTCGTCAACAACCACTTAGGGCAACTTTATAATATACCTATCCTAAAACATGTACTTGTGGGCCGGATTGGACGTGATGTATATGAATCTAGTAGTTTGCCTTGTCAAGATTTTCGTAAAACAAGGTGTTGTAAGATATTTCCTGATCGAACTTGTTTTGGTGCCAAAAAAGCCTTTGGGCAACCTGTTCTATCAAGTGGTTGTAATTTATCAACTGATACAGGAGATGTAAGCCTTGTTTCCCGTTTCAAGTGGTTAGGTCGTTAAGCGATAAAACAGCATTCAAGTAGCAGAGGCCATCAACATGGCGTCTCTAATCAAGGATATATAAGGATTGATGTGTTTGTATAGGCCTATCACCCTACAGTGAACGAGCGATTCAGACGGGACCTAGTTAAGGAAAGTGTTCCAGTTCTGATGTGTTCGGTGGAAATTCACTAGCCCTGTTGGTGTAAACAGATGTTTTGTTTACCGATAACAATGTTGACAGCAAATTTTCCCTCAGCTTGCACCAGTAACGCCCCTTTCTAAGCGCACACTGGAAAGTCGATTGTTTTCTTCGCACGTTTGTGTTAAGTGACATTCCATTTTTGTTCATGTAAGGCTACAGTTACACACTCAGTCTCATGTATATGGTAAACAACTTCAACCTTGAAAGATGTGTACACACCTACAGGCGAAAGTCAGTAAGGAAAAGACTAACACAAGGAATACAATCTTGGGATCGTGCCTAATGAGTCTTGGGATAAAACAAACTTGGGCGTGAGACAAACCCTGTACGGGTCAGTACGTGCTTTAAGGACAGAATAACGTTAAGTCACAGACACTTACCTGTGTGATAGTCGGTCCGGAGACCAGGGAACCAGAGTTGTAGGTAGTGGCCTCTCCGGCTTAGGAACCACTCCTTTGTGGTAGTCCTGAAGAATCCCTATGTAACAGAATCTGATCAATCAGCAATCTTAAGATCCACGTGATTATACAGTCTAGTTCACCGGGGCGGGCCTTCCAGGTAGAACACGGGGCAGGTGCGGGGAAACTTCCGCCGTGTTGACGAACACAGAACGTTCCCAAAACACATGTGACGTCGACACACTCGGCTGAGCCTTTTTACTAAGTCCTGCACGGCCGGAGAGTGGAGTACCTCCCCGTGTATGGGACACCCAAAATCCGCCACTGTTGACAAAATCTCGATCTGAAAGCCTAACTGGCCAGACAACAAATAGGGTTTGAATAGTCGCTAGGTAACGCGCGTCATTTGATCGGCCTCCCATTCACCACTCGGGGCGAGTAGGTCAACAGGTTGTACGGACCCGGCTCGTGTGTTAGCTGGAAATATTGCAACCCTAGAAACAGAGGACGATCATTTGACGGATCAGCGTCAAATCTGTTTGTCGGTTGTTACAACCGTGGCGTGTTCTGGTATAACCCATAACTTTTCTATACATGTGACGCGCATGTGTGAGTGTGAAAGAACCGGATATAATCGCACTAGAAGACATCTTGGTTACCTCTTCAATCTCACATTGCTCGGCAGTTTCTGTGGTTACCCCTTGAGCGACAGAAGGTAAAAAAGTCCTAAGCACAAAGCTCTGCAACACAAACAATCACAGGTATCCTAGCTTAGGGTGCAGAAGAAAGGAAAATATATGGATCAAAGGTTAGTTTGAACAGTATAAAGATACATTCGTTAATTGGCCAGGAGCCCAGTGAGCCAATTGTAGCCGATAAGAATGGGCTGATCAATTTGTTTCCGCGGAACAGTTCTGCTGCCAAGTTCTAACTGTATCAGTACAATCGAATTCTAATTACTGACCACCTCTAAAGTGTCGAACTTATACTGTGTGGTAACGTAGCGGATTTGGGTAACTAAGGCAGGTGCATTTCTAACTTCTTAGACAACAGGTCACATCATCTGGTAACTGTACCTTCATCAGTCGCACGGGCGACGCCCCCTACCCCTGGATAGGGTTTTCTCATCTTTCAGCCTTTACCCCAAGAGATAGCCCCTTTTACCCTAAGAGATAGCCCCTATTTCCGACCAGTTAACCTATTTTGGAGCGTACTATTTAACAGTTTTTCTTTCTTTCATCTTCCTTAAATATCGTGGGAGAACAAGGCAACGCCATTACGAACAAGAGTTCCCTTTCTTTGTCCCCCTTCACCAGAGTCTTTGTACTGACTAGCACCAAGATATAGGGACATTCCAACAGGTGGTTGTTTCTGCCAGCTACTCACGAGTCACAAGAAATGTCAAGATGCGAGGCCCGTGCGTGGCCAATGTTAGGCTATCCACCACTTTTACTCCTCTATTATATTATGACAGACAGACAGGCAGACAGACAGACAGATTCTTTATTGACACAACAAAAAAGTACAGAGACTTTTGTATGGTCTTCTACAACTTAACTAAAGATCTAACAAAGCTAAATACATGTGTGGATAACGTCAACTTACGTACAGAGTATATATATGATGTAACAATAAACAATGCTCCCTGCGCATTACATATAAGATTAAGAAAACAAACTTGAATCGCATGTGAAAACAAGCGTTCTTATTCCGTTTTGTGCTCGGAAATAATGGTACAAATGCACTTATTCCTAGCTTAAAAGTTCATCTGAGTAGGTAGAAGTCATTATGAAACAAGTTTGAACTGTCACAGTGATTTTGGGTCGCATTGGACAAAGTATAAATCTTGGACACGGAATTAATTTTTTTTGCAAGAGGTAGTGGGGAGTCCATCTACATCAGGGCAAGGAGGTTTAAACCTCCTTGATCAAGGCATTGCAACCATCCCTCAACAAAGACGGGGGTGGAGGGTGCCACAAACTTTCTGCAAATTCAAGATCCACTGTTCACGGAGTCATGTCATTTGACGTCACAGAAGCTGTGGATTGCTCATTCCTCGGCAGACTGGAGTTGAAAGGTCGAAAAGTCCAATTTCTCATGTTGAACAGTACAGTTCAAACTTGTTTCAAAATGTATTATTCATTTTAAAGGTATGCCCATACTAAGTATTTTTACCACCACATTTTGATTTAAGTGTGTAAGAGTATTACTCATGATTGGTGTCTCTCTTTCAATAATGTAACAAATTAATCAATAAAAACACACCAATTCCTCAGAACAGTTTATTAAATCAGTTTATGTACAACCCTGTTCACAGAATCTCACAGACAATACAAAACTGAAATCTCACAATTCATCAGATAGGATTCTTTCTGGGCAAAATATTTCTGCCATGAAAAATATTTCAATATATGTGGAGTATACTAGATAATGTCCAGTACCAGTCTCCATAGAATTAATGTACATAGAAATTAATCTTTACGACATGTTGTTGGCGACATTTTGGTTTTGAACAGGATAAAAAAGAGGGCACTTGAAAATACATGTACCATAGAATTCAACCCACAAACGATATAATTTCTATACAGACTTGTGAAGTAAACCCCAAACCACACCATGTTTTTTATATTACACCAAATCCAATGACATGACAGATTTCTGTAACTGACTAATCATATGTATATTCATATAGTCAATATATAGAAAAAAGTCACACGCTGATGTAGTAGTAACTGTTACAGTATGGTTTCAGCTTCAGTCAAACTGCCTGCTGCTGGGGGGGGGGGGGAGGGGGGCGCATTACAGTTTGCAACCTTCTACATCCTTTGGGGAGAACAGACCCAAAAGAAAATATACTGGGAAATATATTTTGGGAAAGTAGATATGGAAAGAATAATATGTCTCTATTTGCAGGCACTGAATTCTCTACATTTACAGAGTGTATGCAATGTTCAATCTACTATCAATCAAATTTTCTACAACCTTTCAAGCTTCAAAAACACAATATGTACAAAATATTAGAAAACAGGTGCAGGAATGCATATTTTCAGGTGTTGGAAAGCTGTCCTCTATCTAAGTCTTCAGATCAATTCTGAGCAGCACTGCTGGCTTTGGCTCCTCCATATGTGTTGGTCTCTTCACTCTGTTGCATTGTCTGGGGTCTGAGGGAAAGGATAAAAAGGTCATTCCTGGTAAAAAAAAAGGTGTCTAATAAAAGTATATACTAGAAATGTGAATTTGATCAATTCATTGTGCGTAGAAAATTTCCATAGCTTGGTGGATCACTTTTTATACCCTAACTAAATCACAGACAATTTTCTTCCCTTTGATATGAAATGTGTGCACTGCACTTTCCCAAGCCAAAAGCACTCCAATGACTATCCCTGTAATGTTTATTTTCTGCAGTACTAGTAATCCTTACCCCTCCGTCCTTCTCTGGATGTCCATTCACTTTCTCCTCCCCTTCCTCCTCCATAATCACCTCACCCTGAAAACAATACAGAAAAATTTTCACTTTGGTTCCAAACAGATGATGTCATTGATATTGATATATGCACATATTACAGACTATGTGACGTATCTTATTTCAGGACTTCCTAAAACTCATGTCTACTGTTTGCTTGACACTGTTGCCCGTACCTGTAGCTCATTCTCCTTCTTCAGGGCTTCGTTCCTCTTGGCCTCCTTTGCAGCTCTGTCCTTCTTCTCTGCCTCAATTGCTTCATAGAATTCCTGTAAGAACACAGATTTGTCAAAGATGTGTAAGTATCAACATCTTGTGGAGGTTCCTTAAAGGCGCTTCCTTTAAATCTGATAAAAATCTTAAGTTTGAACTCAAGCAAAGCCCTTCTCTCTTGAACCTTCCCATCATACCTTCTCAGTCCTTCCCATCATACCTTCTCAGTCCTTCCCATCATCCCTTCTCAGCCCTTCCCTCCCAAACCTTCCCATTATCCCTTCTCGGTGCACACCCCAGTTCTTCCGCGACAGGGGTCCACGATAGTCCGTTGTAAAAAAGTGACGAAAGGGTTTTGAGGGTCCAAGTTTGAGGTGACATTTCTTGTAAACTGCCACGAAGTATCATTAAACATTAACATGGCTGAAGAGTGTAAGAAATGGTGATTTTGGGGTGAAAATTTGGTTTGGCTCCGAACCTTACTTCCGGGTATCCTTGCGCGCCAAGTGTAATCCGCCCGTTTGACCTAGTTTTCGCTCTGCGGCTTCGTAGGGGTGGATTTGCAACCCCTCGCGCCGTGGACTGTTTAGAAAATTACAGTACTAGAATTTTCTTTATAATTTACTCGGGTATAGTCAAGGCTTGGGTCTTTCTGCCAGCATCAGTCATTTCTGTCGGAAAATTTTTTTTTGTGGGATTATCCTACGCGAAAATTCGCAATTTTGGGCATTAATTTTCGAGTGAAAATAATGTTTTTTCCGTTGATTTTACCAAACTTAAAAAGGTTGAAGAAACCAAACTCAGCTTGTCTTGTAGCTGAAGAGATATCCTTTCGTCCCATATACAGTTATTCTCCTTCCGAATTATTCCACGCCAGAGACGGTCGCTAGATTTGAGGGTGTGCAGCTTCGAATAGAGGCCCCAAATAAACTGGGGTGTGCCCCCTTCTCAGCCCTTCCCATCATACCTTCTCAGCCCGTGCCACGAGGTCCTCCTCCTCCTCGTCGCCCTCCCCCTCGCGGTCTGCGTGCTCCTCCCCGCCGCCCTGCTCGCTCTTACTGCGCTCCTTCAGTCTCATCTCCCTGTGTCGGGACTCCAGAATCTTCTCACGCTTGGTCTCACGCTCAAACATCTGTGGGACAACACAGGAGGTCAGCACTACGTAACTCCTACTTGTTAGATCTTTAGATGTAACAGCAATGTTGAAACAAACATATGCCTTAGGAAAACACCTAAACAGCTGATCAAAAGTTTTAATGACATTGTTTTAATAATTCTACTCACAAAGCAACAAAATTAAGATCACAGATTCAAACAGCTACCTCCATAAAAGATGGTAACTATAAGTCAATAGAAATGTTTATCTTTTGTGCACAATCAGTTGGGACATTTGAACTGACCGCTGTGACCAGGACTTTCTCGTTCCGCGGCATGACACACAGCCCGTCCGACAGCTCCAGCAGGGTGGTGGTACCGCTGTGAGAACCACACGCCAGCCAGCGCCCGTTGTCCTGCACACGCACGCTGTGTAGGGCTTCATCGCACACCTGGAGGAACCAGAACACATGTATCAGGTGTCTGAGAAGTTCACCTGTTTCAGGTGTACCCTATAAAGACGGTAACATAAAAATGGCAATAGTTAGCAGAATAGTGTTTGATGCTAAGTTCTATGGATATGGCTGTACCTGGAGACTAAGGGTGGGTTCCTTCTGCTTGAAGAGGTAGTCCCAGACGTCTAAGGTGCCGTCCATCTTGGTAGTGAAGAACACGGCGGGGCGGACAGGGCTCCAGCACCCGTCTGTCAGGTACGAGGTGTGGTATCTGGGGAGAGACGACATGCCATGAGCCAAACGTCCACATGTGAGGCAATAAGCTGTATTTACAGTTAAAACATGCTGATAAACATCTGATAAATTTGAAACTGAAACTATGACATGCAGTTGAACATATCGTGATGTACGAATGTACATATACAAAACAAATGAACATAACAGGGAAAGAAATTTAGCCCCATGAACATCTTTAGCTCTAGCTTTAACAAACATGTAGCTTTTCATGACTTACTTGGTCCACATGATAGATGATTCTCTGATATCCTCAGACCAGATCTGAAGGGAAAGGGAATAATGTTAACAACAGGCATTTCTATGTACGTTTTGTCAAATTGAATTTACCTTGTGTCAATTGTTCTCCTCCTAGTAAGAAAAAAAATAATTATCACACACAAATTTTTGGCCACACTTACCCTCGCAGTCCAGTCTCCAACTGTCAGGAAGTTCTTAGGGAAGAACGGGTTTCTCTGTGGAAAAATAAGAAAATCATCAGAATTATTTTTAGACACGAGCTATTCAGCTGTGATGAAAGCTGACAAAAACCTGCTTATTTACAAGTGTTGAGACTCTTCACTTACAGCTTTTTACACACAGTAAGGCCTGTTGCTCACCTGTAGTGCATAGATGGGCCCGTGGTGTCCAGTGTACAGAGCCACGATCTTGTCTGCCGGTGTTTTGGCCTTCCTGTTACAGTTCACCACAGAACCCTGCTCTGTACCGACCATGAACTTGGTGGGCTGAAATAACAAACATTAAGCATGGAATTATTATTTTATCTATAGGTAGGGATTGTTAGTAGCCATGGCTCATTAGCCGCTCATATCAAAATGGTCCATAACATGGTTTTCAGCACCAAGGACATCGCATGTAGACAGATTTCTGTAGAAACAAATTAAACTTACTTATTACATTACCGATTTTAACTTGACAAACCATTTTTTCTCTTTGTTATATTATATACTATATTATAAACTCTATAGTATGTACAACTATTATAATTTAAAAACCAAACTCAATTATCCTGCTTGTAAACTTTTGTGTGAGTGAAAAGAGTGGGTACTGTACCATGGTGGGTTCATACTCCAGTGAGATGGCACCCAGGGCGTTGTCAATGTTCATCTTCTTGGTGGGATCCAAGATCAGCTTCTCTGTGGGCTCACCCAGCTTACGTGTGTCCCACCACAGGACCTGCAACCAGTATTACAACAGTCAGGAAAAACAAACACACTTAATATACCTGTAGCACTATAAGAGACAATGCTTTGGCATTGATGCTATTTAGCAGTTCTTCTTCAAGACTTTGTGAGGGATGCTCACATGGAACACTCATATAAACAAATGCATGGTAAGAAAAACTGGAATAGTATAAGATTGAATACTCTGAGACAAGTATAGTTGAAAGCTACCAAAAAGACACTAGGACACAAAATTTTCAAATACAGTGTATACATGAAATTCCCTAAAAAGTATATGAGACTCCTGTGCACTCCTACCTGTCCATCAGTAGAGGCTGTGAAACACTCAGTGCCCGTCTTGGACTGTAACCAGATGACCTTGTAGACAGGGTCGCGGTGGGAATGTTCCACCAACGACAGCTCCACGGGCTGGCTGCCCTTCCGCGTGTCCCAGTATGCGATCTGGCCGTTGTAGCAGCCGCCCATGAGGATGTGGGAGTCTTTAGGGTTGTACTCCAGACACACCAGCGGGGAGACAGGCTTCAGGGTCATCTCAGGTTTGTTGGGGTTCTCTGTGGGAGGGGGGCAAACAGAGAAGTGTTAATTGTCAGTAAAGGCAAGGACATAATTTCCTTGGTAAAGGTAACCTACATCTTTGTAAGTTTATTTTCACTGCCCTCTATGACGATTACATAACTGTCTGCTTACAAACTTTGGTCGTAACTATCTTTGAAGTTGTAACAACATCTCCAAAGTTTCTATGCAATATGCAATGATGGTGACAGAAGCATGCAGTACATAGTGATTTGTACAGGAAATATGTCCACGAGAGATTAATGTTTGAAATTTGAGAGAAACTAGACCAGAAAACTGTTGCCCAGCCTGGCCTATGACCGAGGACTGTTGACTTACCAATGTCCCAGATGTAGGAGTCCAGACTGGTGTCTGGGGACGATCGCTGGAACTCCAGGTTGGAGTACGCCACCGCCAACTTCTTAGCACCATCTGGGTACCAGGACAGATGGGTCGCTGTGCGCTTGATCTCATTTGGATCTCTGAAATATATATGTGAACATGTGGTTTATTAGTGGCAAGTGATATGATGCAATTAGTAACAGTCATAGTATGTCATTGGTACACTTAATCTGCACATAGTTGTCAGTTATGAATAAACTTAGATACATGTAGTTCTGAACTTCTTTTAATTTTAAATTAATGATGTTAAAGTTTTTACCTGAAGACGTTGATGGTTTTAGCGGAAGACGGCTCCTCTGCAGACTCCTGTGTCGTGTCGTTAAAGTATTCCTCGTAGATGTCGATGGCGTTGTTTTGCCTGATGCAGTGTTCCATGACCTGTTGTGGAATGATAAACACACATCAGTCATAGGTCAGGTATAGCTAGCTGGAAGTCACATTCTGATGTTTTGTTCAAATTACAGACAAGTTCTAACATTGATTCTGACTGTTGGTCTGAATCCTGTTAAGATTTTGAGTTTTCTATGAGGACTCAGTGAGTTTTGCAGCTTACTTAAGAATTAGTATTTCACTGGAGAATAAGAGTTTCAAAATACTGTAATTCAATTTATGTTCGCGGTAGCAAAAGGTCGCAGTCTGAGAAAAATGGACGTGTTCTTGGAACCACATGTTCACGGTGGCGGCAGGTGAAGAAAAAAAGAAAGTTGTCAAATTATTTGTTCAAGGTAATGATAAGTTTGCAGTACAGAAGTGACCACAAAAAATGCAAAAATAGAAGCACTGAAAAAAATGGTAAATTACAGTATCCTCAAAACCCAGCCAACAAATAGATGGGATCATCTATGTGTTATATACAAAATGGGAGTCTAACTGTTGAATCATGTAATTGACATACAACATGAGGTACTCACACTGCCCAGCTGCAGGATGGTGTTGACGTACATCTCATCCTTCTCCACCTTCTTGCGGTATCGGATGGTCTGTTCCACTTCCTGTGGGTTCACGTCTTTGGGCCAGCCACCCTCCACGTGGTTCACCCCGCGACTCTCTGACTCAAAACGTTCTGTATTCACCTGCAGGCACGGAGAACGGAGGAATTCATTTTTCAGACATTCAGATAAATATAGTCCTAAATAGGGAGTGTTAGGCCACACCAATTTAATTTGTTGGTTCTCAGATTTGCCTCTTAATTTTATTCTGATGTGAAAAAAAAAAGATTCTGGTTCTGAATCAACTAAAAAATGCTTATATTTTGCCCACAACAGTTGACAAAAGTCTTTTTCTGCCTGCTTGTTACAGTTTTTTCATCTATCAATGCAGTGGTTTGATGAAAAGCTAACAAAAATGCTCCAAGCTCCCGTCAGACGATGGGTCAAGCTTGTTGAACAGTAACATACAATAAACTTACGACTGTTGCAATACTGATAGACCTGTTCTACTAACCTCATGTTCAGACATCTCCTGGGCACACTGTATCCCAGAGTCACACGGGTCCTTCTCGATGAAGTCGTGGACTAACTTGTCATCTGGCGCCAGGTCAACGTGCAACTCCGCGGGGCGGTCCGAGAAGTTGCACTGCCGGCCGAACTCGAGCCTCTTCTTGGTGTAGACGTACACGATCTCCATGGCTGGGTCTGTGCCGGGGTAGACTGGAAGGGAGAAGATTCTACGCTGCACCTGGGGAAACAGACAGCAGTGTGTTTTACAGAAGTAGAACATATATGGTGATGGTGGAAAAGCATTAGCCTTGGTCTCTAGTAAGGAGAACACTAAACAATGTATGAACGATATCTGCATGTATTTGGATCACCCAAATGAGTCTCTGCCAGCCTCTGTTCCTAGCTTTGATTAGATAGCACTAAACATATTGATTAACTAATTATCTTGTCTTGATTTGGTCATTATTTCATACTTTGACTTTTACTTTTAGAATAGTTTGTTGTATCTCTATAAATGCTACTCTTGATCTGATTCTTTTTACAAAGAAAAACTTAAAAAGAAATTGGAGTTACCCAGTTATTACAAAACAGTCTACAAACGACAAAATCTTCATTTGAGGTAAAAAATTCTCCGAGTAAGACAGTAAGGTGAAGTTACTTGAACGTAAAGCAAAAACCCATGTTTTCCCATACGTATGGACATCAAAATTCATGTTTGACTCCCTAACACGACCCAAACATCGCCTTATATTTACAACATTCAATTTCCTTAGAACCAGGAAAATTGTTAGTGCTTGACGTTGCTATTTTTTGAGTACGATTCATGATTCCTTGTTGTCAAGAAACATGATAGTTGTTTCTAGGTCAGGTAGGGGAGGGGGGCCTTGGTGATCTGACGACTAAAAACAACGATTTCCTCTCTTTTCACAACAGAAATGCTGTCTATTTTGCGAAAATGTTGAAAAGAACACAAAACCTACCGATTACAGTGGCAGCGCGTCTTGTTTGGTAGAGCCCTGTCGCTAAAATCCCTTTTGAATCCTCCTCTAACTTCAGAACTTCTTGGTATTGTGTTTAGAGATCCAAGATGGCGCCTTCTCCTTGGAACCACAGTGTTGCGGTTGCTACGCGACGGGTCGGGCGTACTACAGCGACACCTAGTAAATTACATTCAAACTGCAACTCCGTGTCGCAGTTCGTCTGTTCCAAGCAGTATCGTGTATCATTCTTCCTCCAGTTCACGGATTATACAAGTAATTTCTAAAATCAGGAATACTAATTAACTGGACTCAAATAGTGATAATCGTCCAGGGCAAGCAGGGTGATAAATATTGATAGAAAAAGATTCAGTCTCAACCATATGTGCATCATCTGCCAAACATAAATTTTTCTGTGCTTGAAATCTTTGGAATGGGCACTTCTTTCTATAGCATTAGCACTCAATTATAAAACCTCACACACACACACACACAAAATTTATCCAAGCGTCCTAAATTACCAGTAGTTTGACTGTAGTTCTATGATTGCCTCATACAACATATACATGTATAATATACCCAATCACTCAGGCAATCCCACAATAATGCACTTGTTCACAGCGGACTTTTAATTTTTTATTGGTGGGGCATTCGAAAGTGTTCCATATTCGTCTCTATACAGATGTCACTTAGGTTCACACAGACCCATTGTTGATTCAGCAATGGTCACTACCTACACTTCCAACTCTTGTTTGAAGTTTTTTTCTATGCATGCTGTCATGGAATTTTTGTTTTGTCAGTTGGTTGGTACCTTGATTCTGTTCTTTCAGTGGGCAGAAAGGGTTTCACTTGCAAGTTATATTTTGCTTGTTTGCTAGGAACCCCAATATTTCATAAATCCCCATGTACTTACTGTACCTTTTTTTGGATCCTCTATTTCTATAGTGAAACTTGCTATATTCATAACCAAACCAACAAATTAGAACGGAACTAACCATGAAACAAAGTACAGATAGGGAAGACTTTTGACAATCAAACCCAAAATTCAAAATGATGTCTACACTACTTTTGCTGAACATTTAAACAATGAACATATGCTTTAAGAGTAACAACAATTTTACGAAGTAAGGAAACTGCTTTCTCACACTTTATTGCTTGAGACAGCAACCAGCATGCTTATATAACAGAATCCACATGTAGTATACTTCCTTCAAATGGAAGTATACACATGCATTTTTGATATAAATAATCATGTTAATAATAACTCTATATGTACACTTCTCCATTGCAATGTTACAGATAGAGTACACATATAGCTCTTTTGCAACCTGCTGAACAGATATGTAGCTCATATTTATAAGGCAAGTAGCACAGAGTAAAAGAAAAGTATAAACAAAAGGCTGGAAGCCTATACAGACGTACCATAACCACAGAGGTCCTTTTCAACAAACTTGGAAATTTCCAGAAAAGTGGGAAAGCTTGTGTTTATTTTTGTTGAAATTTTTGTCAATGATAATAATATTTGCTGCACAGATTTAAGAAGCTGTTTTTACAGCTATCAATTGGTCCAGTTGTTTCTGGTCACAATACACATTCATATAGGGAGGTAAAAGGAGCATTGCTAAGCTTTCCTTTGCTTCCAGTATGGAATACTACAGAGGAACTAATCAAGTCAGCAACAAAGTGCCTTGTTGGTTATGGTACATCCAACATGCCACCAGCTAACCAGCAGCACTTTTGAGTGACACAGCAGAGGTGTTCTACCTGGGCGATGTAGTACCCATTCACATGTAAGCATGTCTCTACACTAGTGTATATACTGTACATCAACGTTAGCATGAGGAGCATTGAGCTGGCATGACTTTAGAAACAGCTGCTACAAGCTAGAGCGGGCAGACTTTGCTAGTAGCATTGCCACTCGAGAGGTTGCACGAGAGCGCGGGTCCTTCATAGGTGTCGACTTCTCTTGTGAACAGGAGAGTCTCCGAGGAGGTCGTTCCCAGAGGACCGTTTTCGCCCATTGGGAGAGTTGCTGTCCATGTGATTGGCAAACTCTTCACTTATAAATGCGTGCAGTTCTCCTAGGTTCCGTCTACGACTGGGGGTGCTGTGCATGTTATGGGAGGGGGAGGTTGGGGTGCGAAGTCCAAAACTGGCCATGGCTCCATTCAACCCTACAAGTACACAAGGAGAAGAATACAAAAACATTTTAAAAAGCTGTACATTTCAACTATTCAGTTATGACTAACGAACTAAATGAAAATAGTCTACATGTGACTTACATAACAACATGTGCCTAGATTAAGCCCTTTAACATAAGATGGCTATATAGCAATGAACTGTACTGTAGTAGACATTCATATTCCAGGGCTTGAAATATTTAGTTATGAACTTATGAGCAATAAATGGTTAGAAATTTTATTTGCAATTGGGGAACATTTTCTTCAAGTACCCTTGAAATTGTTCCTACCCTACTACAGCACCAGCTAAAAAATAACTTTCCAACCCTGAAAAGTTTCAAGTGGTCTATGATATTGTTACCTGCAATCTGGAGAAAGTATTTGCAAATACACTGTAGCAGGTAAAAATTTTGAGCTGTGTATACACATTTCTCACCTTGTAAGGCTATGGCATCCTTAAATGGCTGTAAATCTATTTCGGACTGATGTGATGGTGCGTATTCCTGGCTGCCGAGGCGGGGACTCTCCCGTGCACTGCGGGGCGGGCTGCGGGACCCAGTCCGCGACGGCACAGTCTTTCCACACAGAAAGGCTAGCAGTTCTTCCCTGCGGATGTGGCGACGCCGTTTCTTGGCCCAGGCAACAACGTCCCGCGTCCGCCGCTGGTATCCACACTGAATGCCAAAGTCCTCAGACCGCTTATTGGCATCTATGCTATCTGTAACACCCATTTGTGGTGTGACAAAGGTTAGAACTGTGCAAACACAAGTCCAGTCAAAATGTCTAGATACTTATATGTAACAAGAATGTAATGAAACATGGAAACAAAACAGTGTTACAAAAAGAAGCAGTTTCAAACCTCAAACTTACATGTACCTACACTGGATCCAAAT